TATATATATATATATATATATATATATATATATATATATATATATATATACACATACACACATACATATATATATATATATTCTATATATAATGTAAGTGGTTCATATTCTTAGGGACGTTACACACATTCACACACATACGTACTCACACGATTAACATCAACTATCAACCATCGACAATATCAGTGTCAAACTATTCAAAACCTACAAGCAGTTGTTTGTAAGCAACACTAAAAACATAAGCCTAACTTAACTGTAAAAAAAAAAGCACTCATAGGATCCAGTTTGAAACTGCAAAAAGAAAAAGAAAACTCAAAAACCTTTTGTTGCTCTTGCCAGGATTTAAATCTCACCTTGGTGTTTTTTTTTACTTAAAATCACAGAGAACAAAATTCAGGCACTTTTCCATTGGTTGGGCAAGGGGTGGGGGCAGGGCTTCAGGCAGCGAAGGGGGAGGGGGAGGTGACGTGGGTCAATGGATAGTGAGCGAGGCCAGAGCCTCCATGCGGGAGCCTCCATCTTTGGGAGTCTCCGCAGAGCTGCCAGTGCTTGTCTTTGGCGCTTCCGACACTGTCTCCTCCTCCTCCACCTCCTCTTCGTCCTCCTCCACCTCCTTAGCGGCCAGGGCGCCCGGGGGGGCGAGAGAGAAGGCGCTCTCGCAGTTTTGGGTGGAGGAGACCTGGGAGATGACCGGCATCTGGACGGAGTTGCCTTCAAAACTTTGCTCCGCCAACTCGTACTGTCCCAGGGCCTCCTCCTGTACCTGGTTCAGGTAGTCGGGCACGAGGAAATCACTGGCGGCGGTGAGTGGGACCCGAGGGAGATGAAACAGAGGGAGGAGATACTGATTAAAGGGCGATGCACGTGGACCCCATCCTGCATCACCTTAGCTCCAAACTGCGGGTGGTTAATCAGGATACGACATTAGCGTTATTAATCAGACACCACTCCAGTTACAAGCACAATGCTCAAGTAATATTTTTGACGACATATCGCAGGAAAAAAACTAGGATTTCTTTACGGTGGATGGCATAAGAGGGACCATAATTCTTATGGAGGGGCCAACATTTTCATTAGCCAACGATACATCTTAAATCGGTGAGTGACAGGGGAGGAGGCACTCCGGGGACCAATCACCTTTCAGCTGGGCCCAATGCTCCGGTGGCCCCACCCCTGTGTATACGACTGGATATATTTAACCTATCAGAAGGACGTTACTGCACTCAGTCTCAGGAGTCTCCGTTTCTCAGCCTGGTGCTTGGGGACCCCCAGACAGTCTTCACTTTTGTAAAAAAAAAAGGAGCAAAAAAAGTGCAGCGTCTGAGGGACGCTGAAGACTGGGCTGCAGTTAATGGTCAGCTTGAGACCAGCCTCTCTATGATCTCTCTGGGGGTGGACAATGAACAATAAAAAATATACTTCTGTGAGAGGCCCGAAGGCACTAAGCGGTTCAATCTGTGCTTTTCAAGCCAAAAAAAATTAATAAATAACTGATGCAGGATGCCTGTCAAGCATGAAAATTATAATCTTTGCTTGATGATGTGCCAGACTGAGCTGGTTGCTGACATGTGGGGATCTTAAAGCTTAAAACAATCCCTCTCTCTTATCTCCACTGGCTGCAGAATTTGCTGAAAGGTTTCCATTTTGTTTGTAAGCAAATTCCAAAGGCTCCCAGCCATAGCATGGCTTTTTGGGATGCCCAACTGCAGCATGACAATCACAGTGGGAAACGTGATAAAATAATAGAAATGCAAAATTGCCAAGCTTTTGTCCATCGTGTGTGTGTCCCTGGGTTAGGATTAGAAACCATAAAACACTCCCTGAGATGTCTGATGGAAACATGGGCACACACTTTGTGATTTGCTTTATTCACAGTTGGTACTGGCAGGTAAACGCATTGACTGTAGGAAAGTGTAAAAACTGGCCTAAAATAATTCAGATTCAACTTTTCATTTCTCTGTGCAGAAGTGTCACATTTAAATACATATTTCTTGCAAAAACAGCATTGAAATTAAAGTCAAGATTTCAATGCTTCGACCAAAAATATTGTTCAATTTCAATGTCAATTTTATCATAGAAGCCTACAAGTCCCTCCACTAAACTAGGAACTGAAATAAAGGTTGAAGTTTTTCAGGAAATTTGTAGCGAAATCCCATAATCAATGGTGGACAGATGCTTTGGAAATTAAAGTGATTTCCCCACTCATCCGGTCAGTGGGAACCTCAATGGCCAGATCTCAAAAAACATACAAGATAATGACTTGAAATTTTTTGTCTCTTTATTCGGTATCCAAATAAAACACTGACTTATTAAAGCCAAATTTTACCTCCCGGTACCTATTCACAGCTTATAAGAGGGAAACCAGCCGAATACTTCCCATAATGCCTGCCCTTTAATGCACTCCCATAATCCAATGAGCCCCGGTCCTCTCGACTTCAGATATTAAAACGCAATTATGTGCAACAGAATACGGAATTAGCAGGTTGCTGGTAACTCCCAAAACCACCTTAAATGACACGGATGACAAAAAAAGGAGAGCGGCTTCAATAAAGAGCGATTGGTGTAAGATACTTGAATGCCGAGTAAGAATCTGGCTACAGGGAGCTGTTCTAGATTATGCCAGCAGAAGTGCAATCGGCCCTGAGGATGATGCAATGCCAGGCAAGCAAAGCTAAGCAGCACTGTGTTTCACGAAGGGGCCTCATCTGGCTGGCGGGTCTCTCAGCTATTGGATTCGTTCATTGCTGATTTGAAGCAGGTTTATAAAAACGGTAGCAGAAGGATGCCCTGATCTTTCAGGGCCAGCCGAGCCGATTCCGGGCAGGAGAGGCGTTCTACACTTCTATGCCTAATCAATTTACAGAAAAAAACATTTGGATCTTTTTGCTCATTCAGTATATTAACCTACATCAATTTCTCTGTGAATTCTTTACCAGTGTTTTTACCTTTCACACATCACACTAAACAGCCTTGAAGACTTATTTAGGTCTGCAAAAATCACCCCTGGACCAACTCAGGAAGTAGGAAGGGTATTTGTACACTATTTATATACCCAAACATTGCAGGAAAAACAAACCCCTGCCAAATTTACCATGAAAAAAACACATTAGCATCAAATGAAAACCACAGATTTAAACAGTTTAGAGCAGGGGTGTCAAACTCCAGTCCTGGGGAGACAGAGCCCTGTGTAGCTTAGTTCTTTCCCTGTTCCACCACAAATGTTTCAGCTCAAGTGCGATGTGGTAATTAGGGGAAACCCAAAAATGTGCAGGGCTCCGGCCCCCCAGGACTGGAGTTTGACACCCCTGGTTTACAGTCATCAGTCATTAATAAAACTCTATGCAATACTGCATGATACAGGACTTAGTGAACAGAGATGCTAACGATAATGATGCCCCATTGCTGATGTTAAGGTTAGATACCAGGGCTCTAAAATCAGAAGGAAAGCAATTAGAATAACCTTCCAGTCCTACACCTTTACCACTCCGCCACCTGCTGGCAGAGCACTAACAGATCATGTGTAAGTATGCTACTAAATATCTGGACATGCCTGTACAGTGACAGAGAGTGCGAGTGTTAAATGAGGCCCGATGTTTGACCTAGTGCAGTACGTGTGTGTGTGTTGGGGGAGGTTGACAGAAGGGGTGGGGGGGGGGGGGATTTTAACAAACTCCTCACCTGCTCTGGAAGTAGTTTGCTAGCTCTGACGCCTCATGGTTCAGACTCCTCAGGTGTACGATTAAATTGCCGGAGTTGGTAAACATGGCGCCGCACGTTTTGCACTCGTAAATCCGCGGCTTGCGGATCATGTGGCGGGACACCCTCATGTGGTGTTTATATTCACCGAAGGAAGTGAAAGTGGCGCTACAGATCTGGCACCGGAAACAGCGTTTACCTTCGTGCTTCAGACGGTGCATCTTAAGCGAGTAGGCCCTTGTGAATTTTTTCCCACAGCGATCACACTGGAAGGGCTTAATGCCTGCGGGACAGGGAGAGCGAAGGGTGGGGTGTCAGCGGCTGGCGTATCTGGCTCAGAGCTCCTCCGGCGGGGACGTCCTCTTCCAGACGCGAGCCACCTACGGGTCATTCTCACTAACTCATTACCACAACCTACTGATTCTCTCGCATTTTTAAAATCAGAATGGGACCCAAAACCTCCCAGCCAGCAAAATCAACTGAGGGGACCCCCTCCCTGGCAAATTCTATCTACCATGGGACCCAAATTTCTTCATATTCGAAGTGCCTCCCCGAGTCTGGGGCCTAACGTGACATTTTGTGAGGGGGGCCATAATTTCTAACTATGCTCCTGTAAATTACACAACTTCATTGTTGAATCTGTCAATTTTGCTACTGGGGTAGTTATTCAATTTCATAATATTACAATTTATTACTATAATAAACAAGTCTTTCAAAAATCCAAAAGATTTTCATTACAGAGATAATGAAAAAAGTGACAAAGCTAACAAAAAGAAATTGAGCAGCATACAAATTGCTTGCATATTGTGGGTTACATGCAATAACGATGAAAAATTTAAAAACACTTTAAATCTTATTTGAGCTCAGAACTGTTACGGTAATGAGATTTGTGGGGGAACACGGTGAAAAAAAAAAAAATTAAATCAGAGCAACATATGACAATTTTAAAATAGCTAAAAAGTTAAGGTGACGGCAAGTCCTCTACGCAAACAAAAAAAAACACTGCATTTCATTGTAACTTTTTTTTCACAAAAAATTCTCAAGTTTGTGAGAATGACCCTTATGCACTCAAGTCCACAACAGCTTCAACTTAACAAACCCCGTAATCTAAAACAGGGTTCACTAGACCTAAAATGGTACTGGAATGCCAGGAGCCACATAAGCACTAACACACCCTGCGGAACCTGGGCTCAGATCCCACAGATTCTGCTAAACCCCTCAGACTTACTGAGAAATATTTAACTGATGTCCCAGAATGTTTTTTAACACCACGCCTCCTAAACCTGCCTCCCAATGCTGGTAAATAAAACGGCGAATCAGAATCAGACAAGTGACAAGCGCACATCCCTCGCCTCCTCTGATAGGCTGAGTCGACTTCCCACCTACCTGAGTGGATAAGCATGTGCTGTTTCAGGTTCTGGATGCGCGTAAACCTGACCCCACATGTGGGACACTGAAACGGCCTGTCTGGGCCATTGGTTCCGGGCCTGGTGGAGGGGCTTATGTACAGGTGATAGGGGTACTGAACATTCTCTAACCTGCGGGAATAGAGACAGGGAGGGGGGGGGGGGGGTTGGGGGGGGGGGGGGGGTGTTACTGCAGCGTCAGTTTTGCCCGAGAAGCACTATGCTCTTCCATACAGCCTGAGCCATTTAATGACTCATGGTGTCTTTCCCAAATGTTTCAAGGATTCCCTGCAGGATATCGGTGGATGTTTGAGAAAAGGCTGGCAAGCCATGGGGGAGGCTGAGCCCAATACATTTATAGAAAAACCTAAGAATTATATACATTGTATATCCAGTTATTTGAAATGTGAAGAAACCCGCAAACACATAAAGAGCATGCAAACTCCACGCATACCAAGCAGAGGCAGGATTCGAACCCTCAACCCTAGACTCTCAACCCAACACTGCTACCCAAACATACCGGCCATATTGATAGCGATTTTTAACGGTCTTATAAAGATCTGCTACCATTGTGTTCTATTCACTATAATACTGCGAGTAAATCATACCTCTTCTTTTAACGGAGCCATTCCTCAGAGCTATAGCTCACTGCTCAAACACTAATCCAAAAACATTGTTAGCTAATTCGGGATCCTCGTTATCATAAGAGAATGTATGAAAATTACTTCACAGCGTAGCTATGCAATAATCTATGGTAAACCATGTACGACTTAACTGAGGATTACATGCTGTGTGATTACCACACCAGACCGGCCCTTCTAAACAAACAGCGTGCTCGTTCTATCCTACATCGCGGACGAAAGACTGAAATGGCACATGTCCCTCACCAGCCGCTACGCGACAGCCTGGCCGTGCTCGAATTCCCTTTTGTTTAGCCAACAGCGGGATCCTCGCTAGCTTTGCGCCAGACGAAACTGCAAACGCATCCACCTACTCACACGGGGATTTTTTTTATTCCGTAACCGAGCCAGAGAAATGCAAACAAATACACAGTGATACACCGGCTAAGGAAAAGCTCCTTGGTGGCACCGGCTTTCGCTTGACGTTTGGTCGGTATGGGTGAGAGAGAGAAAGGAGATGGGGAGCGAAGCCTGGAATATTACCTCTCATCATCTTCTGCGTGGCCGCTGGCGTTGGACGTGCCCTGAATGGAAGGCAAGCCCTCCGCGACACCCTCATCTATGGAACCTTGGATAAAAAATGAACAAGGAGAAGCTTTTCATTGATATGCGCTTATTTCTCTGACGGTGCTTTCCTCAACACATGTTAAGGGGCCTCAACTTGCCCACATATCCCCTTGACATTATCTATTACTATGCCATGCTCCAGACTCTAGCAACCAATGAATAAGTAACTAACTGAAGAGCAAATTTCCAAAACTCACTCAGTCCACAACACGTTTTCAAGAAAATTTCTGTGAATTTAGAGAATTCTAAAGTTCTTCATTGGATTAAATGAGGACTGACTGAGTTTTGGTTCCCAATACTGTAACATATGTTGAGTAAGCCCCGATTTTAGGCCTCATCACAGAAAAAACAAAAAATGGACTGGCAGGAGAATCTGCTCTTGAAAATGAATGTGCACTCAGACTGGTGTCAAAGTTAGAGGAGAAGGACACACACCTATGGAGGAGGACTGGGGGCTGATTAAAAGGTCCTCCTGGACCTGTTCACTGCCGGGGACGGTCTGCTGGTCGCTGAGGGAGCTGTGAGAGGCGCTGACGGGCTGTGATGCTTCCTCGTGAGCCTCTTCATCACTGAGCCGCTCCACTTTGACGCGAACGTCCTCCTCTCCCGCCAGTGGAGATGCCGCCACCACCGTCTTGGGCCCTTCGCAGGCCAGGTAGTCGGGCAGGCCGCGGGCCACGTCGGTGGCAGAGGCGCCTTGTTCCAACCCGTGGGGGCTCCCCGGCACCTTGGGTTTCTCCGACTGGAACCGGCGGTCCACGCCGAAGGGGAAGGTCCAGGGGAAGGCCAGGGAGGAGTCCACCGGCTGCACGCCGGCGTCTGGGAACGAGGACGGGTGCGGCACCTGTGGCGAGGCGGCCTGCGAGGCAGGGCACTTCAGCGGGCTCTCAGGAGACATGACGATGAAGCTTTTGCGCTTGCGGCGGGACTCGCGGCACACGGGGATGGCGCGCTCCATCACGCTGCACTCGGATGACACTGGCGAAAGGCTGCCGTCTTGCGGCGTCGGCGTGCAGCCGGCAGCGTCCTCCGGTGTGGCGTCCGGTGCCTTCTCCTGCGCCGCGCCCCCACCACCGCCGCTGGCGTTCCACAGGATGCTCGACTTCATGAACTCGGAGCATGTGCTGGCGACGGCAAACATCTGCATGTAGCTGGCGGCGGCCAGCACATCGATGATGTTCTCCGTGTTGATGGAGAGCGTGGAGGTGTAGGCGTACTCTAGCAGCGGCGTGAAGCCGCTCACCGTCACGTGATGAAGGTCCAGCACCACCTTGTCGTCGTTGTCTGGGCGGCCCACCAGCTTGCTGCGCAGGAACTCGCTGCAGCAGGCCAGCACCACCTTGTGCGCCAGGAAGAGCTTGTCCTGCACCCGGATGGTGACGTCGCAGAAGTGGCCCTCGTTTCGTAGGGCATTGAGCTTCTCCAGCATCTCCTGACTGTGGGTGGCTGAACTGTGGGTGAACGTTTTCACGCCCATTTCTGAGGTCCTCTCTACAGAGATGCAGCAACACTGATTATCTATTTAAAAAAAGACAAAGGATGACGCTAATTAGAGGTAAATATCGATGAATTGTTTATTTTTACAGAAATAATAGTGCTACTGCTGACTGAAACACAAAAAATGGGCTGTCTCATCATGACAGGCAACAAAGCTTGTCGACTTTATTGTGTAGAGGGACTCACTTTTACAGATTAAATGGATCGATGTGACAGAAAGCGTGTGTTCTGCAGAAACATCTTTATATACATCAAGTGACCACGCCTCCATAAGCATGCAAAAACAAATAATGAATTACACGAAACATAGCGGCATTTCAGTCACCCTTGTTATATAGGAGCTCACGATTTACACAGTAAATCAAATCCACAGCAGCCAAGGCCCAGCTCAACAAGAAAACAGCAAATCGACAAAGAAGGGCACAACTCTGAGTTGAAAAGGAGCCGTCACAATTGGTGATGGACAGTGACAACCACCAGTGGCAGCGTTTACCAACACTCAAACCATGTACTTGCGTGAGGCCCCAGATGTTTAGGGCCCCCCTGTTGGCCACAAACAGTCATTACACTAAAGGGGGCCCCAAAGTGAGTTTTTGAGAGGGGCCCCAGAAAATACAAACCCGCCGCATACAACTGTGCCAAGCTATGAAAGAGGGACAGACTCGGCACCATGGTTTACAATGGGAAGCCCAGTCTGACCAGAAAAGAATGGTCGAATCAGTTAGGGAAGTGGGCCGGGTCTTCTGTCAAACCCAGAAAGCACGGCAAGCTCTCGCAAGATCACCTCGTCAAAGCATCAGCCCTACTGTAAGGAACATGCTCCACAAGATGGTCACAGAGACAGCCTTCTTTGAGTGTGGTGCCGTACTTCTCCAGAACTTCCTGATGCGTGTGGGGAGGAACTGTGGCCGCTTTTCCTGAAACCTAAAATTTTATTGTGGAAACAGGCAGGTTCCTTTATATTTCATCTTCAGTAATCTTCAAACGAAAGCTGGTCATAGACGTTTGGTGTGACGTTAAGACACTTAACAGATTCACTGGATTCAATGAACAAATTGCAAGCAATGGCAAAGATAGTTCAAGTTCAAACAGCAACATGTGAGAACTCATTGTTTATTATAAGGGATTCATACACTCACTGGTCACTTTAGTTACTCTTTGCTAGTACGGCATTGGGCCCCTCCTTTGCCTTCAGAACTGTCTTAATTCTTCATGCCATAGATTCAGCAAGCTGCCTGAAACATTCCTCAGAGACTTTGGTCCATGTTGGCATGATAGCATCACACAGTTACTGCAGATTTGTCTGCTGCACCTTCACGATGCGAACCTCCCGTTCTACCACATCCCATAGGTGCTCTGTTGGATTGAGATCTGGTGGCTGTGGCGGCCATTTGAGTACAGTGAACCCATTGTCTGACCAAGCAACATTTTTCCAATCTTCCATTGTCCAATTTTAGTGAGCCTTTTCCAACTGTAGCTGCAGTTTCCTGTTCTGAGCTGACAAGAGTGGCACACAGTGTGGTCTTCTGCCGCAGTAGCCCATCTGTTTCAAGGCTTGACGTGTTGTGCATTCAGAGATGCTCTTCTGCATAACTTGGTTGTACCGAGTGATTACTGAAGTAACTTTTGCTTTTCCATCAGCTTTAACTAGTCTGGCCATTCTTCTCTGACCTCCTCCATCAACAAGGCATTTACAGTTAGAGAACCGCCAATCACTGGATATTTTGTCTTTTTTGGCCCATTCTCTGTACAATCCTAGAGATGGCACCAACAACCATGCCACATTCGATTACCTTTCTTCCCAATTCTGGTGTTTGATGTGAACATTATCTGAAGGTCCTGATTTGTACTTGCATTGTGTCCGATTTTATACCTTGTGCTGCTGACATATGACTGCCTGATTACACATTTGGTTTGAGCAATTCAACAGGTGTACCTAGTAAAGCAGCCAGTGAGTGTACATCCATTTGCTGAAGATCGTAATCATAAACAGCAATCAGTAAACATGTTTTAGAGACTCTCCACTGCATACTTTTGTTGCTTCATCAGTGGCAGAGTGGAAGCCATTTCCGTTCATCTTTGCCAGTGTGCAAGAAAATGTCCATATTGGGCTGTGCTCTCACACACCGCAGACAGACGTTTAGTGTTCTGTTTACGCAAGACTAACAATGGGGGCTCAGCAGAGCAGATAATACAGACAAGTGAAGTTTCATGAAAGTAGTAGCAGGCAGCACAGCAATAATGAGCGCAGACTTGCCATGCTGTACTGGAGCCTTCTAGAAGCTACTTAACCTGAACCGCCTCATTAAAACACCAGTGAAATAGGCAGGCAAAATAGCGGGTTGCCCTGGTATTGGCTAAGCAGTAAAATACCAGTCATAAACTAGCCAGTGAGGAATGAACAGTGACAGCCAGAGAGAATCATTATGTGACAGCCAAACAGGACGGGGGTCTTCAAAGCCCCAACTATGGCTGCCTCACCAAATGTGTCACTTCCTCTTAAAGGTACTTTGCCTCCCATGGATCACCCTCCCTCCAGGACCACTCTCAGGGAAGATCAACCACAAAGAAACAGAATAAAATACATAAAATTCTCTTCAGTGAAATATCAAGCTGATTTTGGCTCTTACTCCCTGACAGGTAAATAATGCAGCCAGAACAGGTCCCTCCCACCCAAAGAGAACACCAATGGCAATGCAGCCTTGGATTCTAACTGGACCACCTTACACATGTCCAACATTTCCAGGAGGAAATCAGCGTGCTGCTTATTTGTGACAAGGCAGCCATACCTACAAATACAGCCATAGTTGCAACATCATCACTCAAGAAACATTCATTTCTGATATCAGTGTGCCTGTTAAAACAAACTATATAAATAGGAAAACATTTAAAATATACCTGTTGTGTTATAGAAAAACACAATTGCATATAGGACTTCAAGTCTGACTGTTCTGGTCGCAATCAAAACAAAGAGTACAATATAAAAGAGTTGTCTATCACCTGCGGTCACCGTCTCCCAAAATAATACCGGATACCCAACCACACAACAGATGGTGTGATGCCAGAATATGAGACAACCAAATTTACCTAAATAATAAAGAAAAATGGCCTTGAGTTCACAAAAAAAATTTAAAGTAAGTTTGACAACACGATCATGAGAAGCGGACTGATGTTACCCAGGAAAAGAGGCAAGGAAAGTATGTGATAAGCTCATGGAAGGGCAAAGCAAAACTGGAGATCCCCACTTAGACAGAATCTGCTGTAAGAAAACACAATAGACACCTGTTGTCTGCTCTGCCCACTACCAGCTCCAGAATCCTCAAAATAACTTTGCATCACACCAAAGCGTCATTAATAACGACGGGACGACTTCAGGACAGAAACAGTGAAACCAACACTTTTATGGACAAAACAAAATAGTGAAACCGTGCCTTTTATGGTCAAATAATGAAATTGAGATCTGCATCATCCGATTTGATTCTCGGGGGGGGGGGGGGGAGTCAAATCAGCGGCAGAGATGGATGACCGCCCTCCCAATCCACTTACACTCCTGTTTCTCCGGGTGCCTAAAGTCACAGAGCTGATCACTGAATCAGCAGCGCATGTCTATGACGGGAAAAAATTCCTTCCCAACTGAAACCAGCCCCCTTGCCCACAAAAGGACAGGGGCTATGTCTGGCGGCTGCCTCGACACGGAGCTTATTCCCAAAGAAAAACAAGTGACAACTTGGCAAAGACCCCTCTCGCTCTGCCTCCGATTGTGGATGACGACCCCGGGTCGCCCAGAGAATCTCTCCGTCTCTGCGACCGGAGCTGGCTGAGCCTAAGATGCCGTCGTCGCTGCTTTTTTCCCGCTGGGTAATTTCTCCCATCTTTGTTTCAGGGTGCCAGTTATAAAAACGTTACTGTGTTGGTTTTTCTCCCCCTCCTCCGTTCTGTAGGCTAGACTGGTTTAGTGTATTACCAGATTAAGAGAAGTTCCCCTGGGCCTGAGGGGGAAAAAAAAAGGCACACAAAATAAAATAGCAATTTTCTGGCTGCATTCCTTGATACGCTAGTAGCAATACACAGGGGGTTAGAGTAAAAATTATATACCCCCCCCCCCACTACCTGCTATGGATTGGTAATTTTAGCAATCCACTGAGAAATTTAACAATCCTGTACGGCAAGTTGAAAATCCTATTTTTTTTTATTACACTGGAGAATGTGAGAATACACCTATACAACCAAAAATAACATACTACACGCCTTGAATTATGTAGAAATAGAAAGGCTATTGTAGGTACATAGCCAATAAATAAAAAGCCAAGTCTACCTGCTACAATCTGCTTGCTACTCAATGATAATGACAATGACCCTATTCCTAACTTAAGACCTCGACATCGCTGACATTACTTTACAGATCTCTCTCTTAGGTAGCAGACACAACAGTTATTTGGGGAATTCCTGTGGAAACTGTGCCATTAAACACCACTAGTATGATGTCAGCCAGCTACGTCCAGTCAGGCAAAGTGTACGGCTCTACCCTCTCTGAGGGGAAATGGTGCATGTTTAAGATAAACGGAACAGTCCTGGTTAAGATAGAAAAGTCCGAATAAAACAAAGATGGAACGGTCCATGCTGAATGGAACAGGCCATGTAAAATGGAAACAGGGCGGAAATGGCAATGGTACAATCCAGGCTGTGAGGAACATGCCAATACCGAACAGAGAAGTCTATTACTGAATGGAACAGGCTCCCACTGGATGGAATGGATGATGTCAAATGGAAAATGAACGGTCCGAGTTGAAAGTAAACAGAGGAGCTCTGAAGGAAAAGATCCCTGTTAAAAGGAATGAACCAACACTGAACAGAACAGCTCACGTTAAGAGGGAAGGAGCATTTCACATTAACTGTCAACGGGCCAGGGTTAAATGGAAATAGAGTGGGAGGCGGTCATCGTAAACGGTCTGGCGCTAAATTGGAACGGTACAGTCCTTGTTAATGATAAACATTCCAGCGCTGACTTACAACAGTACAGTTCACGTTAACCATACATGGCCCAGATCTGACTGGAATCACTATGGTCCAGGTTAACCACACACGTGACAACCCTAACTGTAAACGGACTAGCGATGACTGAAAACCACACAATCCAGGTTAGACACAGACATGACAGCACAGACTATAAACGGACCAGCTATGACTGAAAACCATACGACCCAGGTTAAACACAGACGTGACAGCATTGCATTGACTGTAAACGGGCCGCCTTTGACTATAAAGCGTACGGTTCACTGTGACCATAAACGTGGCAGCCCTGCCTGGAAACAGCGTAGTTCACGTTAACTATAATGGAAGTTTAAGTTCAAATGGAAACCAAGACCCACTTTAACCGGAAACGAGGCGGCTGTGACCGTAAAGGCTGACCGTAAGCGGCGCGACTCCGGGCAGCACGGAGACCTAGCCGCTGTACTCGGAGGCAGCTTCGGGGGGCGGGGTTCTCAGCACAGCCCCCTTCCACTTTGTTTACAGTGCCTTTAACGCGCAGCTACGGCCGCACGGGGCATTTTTAATAAGCGAGAAAAAAAAAAACAAAAACACAGCAATTACTGACTAGCGCACTTCGGGAACTCTTGCTTTCTCCCGTAAAACGGGAGTGCAGCTGGATCTCAGACGTTATAAGGACCGCGGCGCACTTAGCCAGTTAGCCGCCACCGACGGAATGTTTACATCCGGCCGGGTGTCTTTAAGTTCACGCCAAGCAAAAACGCTGATAGCGACTCCAGAAAACCGTCACCCGCTCTGCCAAGCCCGGCCGGCCGGCCAGCCGCGGCCGCGCGTCCCCCCGGGGGGGGGGTCTCTCTCCGCCGACACTTCGCTAGCTACCTAGCCGCTGACAGACGCCTAGTAATGTCGCGAGGCAGCCACGAAATATGACAAATAACAGACAGCGGTCGGTGCCGAGACGTCCGCCGTTAGACTGATACGAGGCTTCGCGATATTTACCTCCAATTAAAAAAAAGAGAAAGAGAAGAAGGAAGAAATGAGATCCGGCCTGCCGCTGGACCGAGCGCCCGGGGAGGGGGTCTGCCGACTCGGCTGTGAAGGCGGGCGTATAGCTAACGTTAGCACGCAGGCTCCGCGCTGCTTTCTCCCCCGCCGATCAAACTCCCATTTCCAGCCGCGGCACCTTCGCTGCTACAGCTCCCACGTAAATATGCACGAATGGGCGGCCGACTGTTGGCAGAAGGGGGGAAGAAAAGTTTATTTCCACCCTTTCCCGTCTCGTCTTTCTTCTTTGTCCCTTCTACTGGTATTTTTTTGCACTTTATTTTTGTCCCACAATGCAATGCGCCTCACAGTCCAGTACCAACGCGCACCGCAGGCAACCAGTCCGGAAAGTAACTGTGAATATGATGTATCTCTAATTATACCTGCAGCTCTACAGTCATACTGCCGCGTCGTGCCACACGATGACATTAACAATAACGCGAGTACAACTGGTGCCCGGTCTTTACAAATCAGCGCTTCTGTTAGTTTACATACATGCTCTTTTAAGGTGCAAATTGCCTTGCTCTGAAGTAGTGAGTGCCATGCAAATGAACAACCACATGTTGTCTGTTTTTTTCGCATCTAACTTATAGGCTACTTTAAGTTACTTTGTGCATGTACGGACAGATTAGGAGCATGACCTTAAAATACTGCTACACATTGGAACAATACATTCATTTATTTTTGCGTTCAAACATTTTAGCGGTGTTTGTCTTTTGTTAAAAATTCATTTTTACACTTAATGCAATCATATTTACGCAGTTTGGCACAAATAAGGTAAATCCAACTGCTTATACAGAACAATTTCGTAGGGTAACAAAAAACATCCATCCATCCGTGCATCTTATTTCATCCTTATCCTTGTCAAGTACGCGAGAAGCCTAATGCCAGGCAGCTCAGGACATAAGCCAGGGGTGTCAGTCCATCGCAGGGTACATTTACTGACACTCACACAGACTGCGGGAGAAAACACGAGTATCCAGAAGAAACTCGGGCAGCACAGGGAGAACATGCGAAATTTGTTGGTTAGCTAGATAACGTGTCGGATTTAAGCTACAGCAGTTTAAATTGACTTTATGTTCGTCCACTGACATTTAGCCAAGACTACCTTCAGCCCGACAAGTTATCTTGCTAATCCCAAAAGCCATCTTCGTGATATAGGCCCCAGGTACCAGTAAATAAAAAGAAAAGAACGCTTCTGTCACCATATAAACATTTTCTTCACGTGTTTATTTTATTTGTACATCTCGATTATCACTTATAATTCTGAAAGACAGCAGCATCTAGAAAAATATTACACATAAAAATGTAGAAACTATACAAAAATAAATAGCTTTAAGAGGAAGCTTTAATATTACATAGTACAAGCCTTCACTGAAGGAATATCATGCTGATATTTTCTCCCTTACATTCCTAATGTACAGTTACTGGAATGCTACATCACAAAATGTCTAGAAATAAATTACAAATCAATACTAACCTAAAATTCAACGTGAGTGAATAATCTGGAAAATGTTTCCGCATGCAGCAAAAAAAGCAAACAATAAACATTTTAGATGCCGTTACCAACATGCCCGTGGGTGTGAGCATAATGCCTCAACGTTGCACTTTCGATCAATTCGTAACTTCTCTCCACTTAATGGTTAGATTTACCCTTGAAAGTAAAGAAAGGGTGTATTCTAATTTTATATGGATGCATGAGATCAGATCCCCTGACGAAAAACCAAAAGGAGCTGGTTACAGGCTGAACTATATTCAGTTCCACGTGTCACGTACTCTGGATTGAAGCATATCTAATTTTACGCGACCTCCGTTCATAAGGATCACGTCGGGATTATACCATCCTCACACTCCGTCGGTTGGCCCACGCTTACCCTGCCAACACAGAGCTCTAAGAATGCTGCAAGGGAACATTTCTACAGTCTGATGGTTTAGTTAAACAAGTGTAACTTATTGTTGCCTAAATACATGATTGTATATAAATACCTATACACATAGTTGCTGTTTGTTTTAGGAATCGTTTGGGGGAGGAGTGACATTGTAACAGGCACAGCATACTACGGTTTGTTAGTTAAACTGCTTATTTGGGGTTATTTGATAGAATCCCTCCTGAGCCCTGTCCGGAGAATTCTGTCACTTGTTCTCCTCAAATGCGTATGCGCTTCTTCTGCTCTTACTAAGCTGTGCGTATAATTGGGAACTCATTTGTGGCTGATGTAACTATCAGTTAGTGTTCGCTGATCGCAAAAAACTATTAAGGTTCTGTATTTGCTTTGCGAGTTGAATTACTTATGTACAAATGTATTGAATACTCTGTTGCTTTTTTCTGTGGTTTATAATTTAGCCAGAACTAAATTACATTATGTTTTGTTTTTGTTTGAATCCCCCATGAGTACAGAAAATGTTTTGTTCTGTTATAGTAATATATATTATATATGAACAGCTATGAAACCAAAGTTCGTTTTGTGATACATTAAGTGGCTTTTCTCATTTTAAAATTTGTTTTTCTTGTGCTTTTGTTTTAAGTGTTAAATAAAAGTTTACCTTTCTCCATTTATTAAGGCGCTACATTGTTCCAGTTTTCTGTGGTTGAATTTGAAATTTGTGTTGTTCTGGGGGGGCAGCTATCCTGTAAAGGGATGGTGGAGGTATGGTACAACTGTGTCTCAGTAGCTTCCCTTTACAATACAAATAAACAAACTAATTGAAATATTGTCATCTAATGTTACTCAGCAATTTTACATCCTTTGAGGTAGATCTCAAACCGGCAGAACTGTTAATAGTGGTTAAAAATATTAGCGAGAATCACCAGCCACAGCACTTGATCCTCTGATCAGGCTCATGGGATTTTTACTTACAAAAATGTTCTGAGGGCAGAATAAAAAAAATATTGGTTCAGAAACAATCAGATTGTAGAGGAGGTGGGTCCAAGCAACTAGAGGAGGTGGGATCAACCAATCAGATGTCTTGGACCCACCTCTTCTAGTTGCTTGGACCCACCTCCTCTACAATATGAATGGCTATCTCTCTGAACCAATCATTTTCCACTCTACCCTCAGCACATTTTTGTGAAAGTAGAACCTCCATGAGCTCCGATCAGGCTAACAATAGCAGGCCCATCCCACGTGTTTCATCCTCCCGTTGCTTGGCTGTGGGGTCGGATGTTCAGCACTCCTGGTGAGCACACTCCACGGAGACTGGTGTCGGCTTCTTGGCCAGGTCACACCTCTCGGGCTCCACGGTCTTCCCGGTGTAGTCGGTGCAGAATACGGCACGCCGGCGCTCACCATGCCTGCAGTTACGTGAGCAGGAGGACCAAGGTCCCATCTGCCACACGGGGCAGGGCAAGTCGCCGCAGGGCCGGATATCGGTGGGCCTCAGGCCCTCGTCACAGACGAAGGTGGGGAGGCCTCTCTCATCCCTGCACTCCACGTCTCGCCGGGACCACCCTGACCCACAGGTCTTAGAACACTCAGACCACTCCCCCATGATCCACTCAGACCTGCCGATTGGCTGGATGGTGTGTGGCGACACCCTCTTTTCGCCGGCCCTGCTGAAGGAGACGCCCTTGGGGAGGTAGAAGCTGTACTTGACTCTGGGCGGAGATGCCTCGCCGGCTGTGGACAGCAGCTGGATGGTGACACCTTCCTGAAGCTGGTGGAAGCTCTGGATACGCTCCAGCGTGGTGGAGGACCCGCTGTACCGTAGGAAAGCCCCTCTCACTGGGACGTCTTGCTCCACGGTGGACACGGAGAAGTTCCCGTTCAGGATGTAGGCTCCGTCTTCCGCCATGACGGCCAGGTAGTTGCCGTCATGCTCCGTCCCGCGCTGACTGCGCTGTTTGATGTCGATGTTGGTGGCACCAGCTGGGATGGTCACGATATCATTGTAGCCGTATCTGGGACGAGGCAAACAAGCTGTTATTGGCCACCGACATGGAGCAGGAAATGAAATGACGTAACTCATGAAGGCTCCACGCAACCAGATGTTTTGTGAGACTGATGCCGATAACAGCAGAGACTCACACGGCCCGGTTCATGGAGCCGGTGACCTTCCTGCAGCTGGACCCATCGCCCCCACACACGCCGCACTTGTCCAGCTTCTCACTGGAGCCGATCACCAGGTCACATCCCGCTTTGACGCACTGGCCCTGGACGCAGATGGACGTGGTGTCCAGACCGCATGTGGTGCCATCGACGACCTGGGCATCACCCAAAGCATACAGTGGCTGACGTCACATAAATGTTGGCTAAGATTTATCACCAAGTCAAGTTGACTTCATTGTCAGACCACCACCCATATACAGCTATATAGTGGCACAAAACAATGGTCCCCCAGGACCAACCGGGTTAACAGGGGAGGGTCTTCACAGGACTTAAATTATAAAAACATGGGACAGTTCAAAAGCAGGGGGGTTGGGCGACAGGGTTTATATACATTATCAGATCCAAGTTTTTAAAAAAAAAATTTCCCTGCTAGTCCAACCTAAGCAGCTTTTCCTCTGCTTCTACTTTGTGGTATGTCTGCTTGCACAACGCGCTGTGTGCGTTTATGTATGTATATGTAAATCACTCCGGGGTAACACTGTTGGGAAGGGAGGTCATGTGACCACAGGGCAAACATGGCGAGGACTCCACACACAAAGGGGGCGGCATGGAGCGTGGGACACATGTAAATGGAGGGGGCGCGGAGTCGTGTGCACTTATCTGTTTTTGAGAAACTCAGATATAACCTTTTGTTTTTATAAACTTGGATGTAATTCAGGTCTTTAATAGTAAAGTTTGTTGTTAATCACGATGCTCCAAAAATTAACTGGTCATGCCCCCCCGGTCCATGGCTGGAGGCCATTGAGCCACTGTAGTGCTGCATTGTGGTCCATATGATTAAGAGCAAAGATCTGATGTGGTTATGTGGCGCATGTTTGCGGCCTGATCTGCGCTGATCGGAGGGGGGCCACACCTTGGCCTCGAACACCCGGAACTCGCTGCTGCCCCTGGCCCTGCAGACCAGCCTGCACCTGTCCCGGGGCGAGATGCCGGCATACTTCGGGATCCAGCGCTTCGTGTTCCCGCTTCCGTCTATCTGGCCCAGGTTGTTGTACCTCTCACACTGCTCCTCCCTGAAGCTCTTACCTAAAAACAACAGGTCAGGGTTAGCCAAGTCTGCATGCGTGCTGAGGCCCTTGCTGGCCAGCCCGTCCGCTCTGCCCGCCAGCCGGTTCTCATACCCATGGGAGGTTAATAAAAAACAGCCGTAGCCTTGCCTAAAGGCCCAGTTTGCCTCTGCACCAACAGGACCCCAGAGGTAAGTGCCATAAAGCCATTTAATTTTACACTCTATCATCTCTGCAAGCCCTATGACTGACAAAGGCTAACTATTAACTGCATTTTTTATATTTATTTATTATGGATTTTATTTATTATTATTTTTTCCTTTTATTTATTATATGTAAACATTGGTGGAAGAGCAAACAGAATTTTAAGGTTAAGGTTAAGGTTACTTTATTGTCATCAACGGCTTTATACATGTACAAAGTGTGATGAGACAACGTTTCCCATTGGCCCCGGTGCAACATCTAGTAACACTGAACGTCACATAGTAACATTGAACGTCACATCAACGGGGCAAAAGGGTGCAAACAGACAACACAATACAGTGCAAAAGGTGCACAACAAGTTACAATTAATAAATGGAACAATAAATGGACAGAACAGTACACAATACTCCAGTATTATTTAGTTGTACAATAAAGATTCTATTCTATTCTATTCTATTCTATTCTATTCTACGGACAGCTGTCAAGATACCTGTTACCTGGTTTGTCTCAAAAGCTTTGAAGATACCTCATAATATTATTCCTAATAATACTGCTTGTATTTCAAAACGACTTCACAGCAAATTAATGAGATGCTGTGGGGATCGTTCTGTTAGACCGCTACGTGTTGCGATCTTGAGTCAAAGGACACGGTCGCGTGGCATGAAGCAGCCCCCAGGACCTCGCCAGTCCCTCCCTAGTCCCTCGCTTAAGCGTGCTCTGTGGACGAGAGCATCCTTACCACTGTTTTCCAGGCAGGCTTCAGTGTTGCAGGACTGGTACTTGACTCGCTGTCCCACGCAGTACCTGCCTCCGTTCCGGGGTTCTGGGTCAGTGCACTCCCGGTGAGACAACTCCACGCCCCCACCGCAGGTCCTGGAACAGAGACCCCACGGGCCCCAGGATCCCCAGCTTCCGTCTATGGTGGTCTGAGGGCGGAGCTGGAGCAGAGAGAAACATAGTCTGTAGCCTGAATGCTGCATTTAACACTAGCGTTAGTCTTAGCATTAGCATTAGTGTCAATATTAGCAATAGTCTTAACCTTAGTCTTAGCATTAGCGTTAGTCTTAGCATTAGTGTCAGTATTAGCAATAGTCTTAGCTTTAGTCTTAGCATTAGTGTTAGTCTTAGCATTAGTGTCAGTATTAGCAATAGTCTTAGATTTAATCTTAGCATTAGCGTTAGTTAAGATACAATAGAGCAAGAGCAACACAGCATCTTCCAACAAAGCAAGAACGTAAAAAGACTATTCAATGAGCAGAAAGTACAACGTTAAGAACATGCAGGGAACGTGGAGTGGTGTACGACTGATGAAGATGTAACGGATGGGCCTTGTTATCGTTCTTAAATCACATAAATCTAAAAGGATGGCAGATCCGCAAGAGAGGCTCCAGGACAGATCCAACTTGTAAACCTTCAAAGTCTCACTGCAGTCAGCAGTCCTGGGAGAACCTGGGTTGGGCTCTGCTTGGCACCTTGGGGCTCAGGCAGGTCTGTGACACATCCATCCCTCCCTGCATTCCTGGCTCATGTCTCTTGGCTTGTGGGACCCCCTCCCACCCACCCCATGACACTGCTTGGCAGCCGCGACGTTGGAAGTGTCCCATCTCGCAATGACTTTTCCACGATGTCGTAGTGGAAAATCCTTTTTTAAAAAGCACAGTACCAAATATAACTGTGCAGATCATCGAGATGGGTATATTTGGAATACAGATCGAGGCGTTGCAATTATTTTATGGTGCCCTGCAGGCCTAAACGTATTTAGCAGATGCCTTTGGTCCAAAGTGACATACGTGTGAGGAAAACTTTGGATCAAAGCAGAGGGTCACACAACATCCAGTGCTGGGGTTGTTTGAGGTCTCAACAGGCTGTCTGTGGGACTCAAACCCATGATCTTCTGGGAAAAGGCGCAGATCCATAATCCAACGCATACAAACCACCCATAGGTCTAAAGAACAGGATGAGGCCTCACAATGAAGGCAGTAGGCCATATTAATTGAACTGACATGGCTTTGTAGCGGCGGTTATTAGTGGCGATTTGTAGGTGGACCCTCAAGCCCAACTCAGGACGAGAGACTCACCTTTGGCCAGTTGGCCTCCACGCACGAGCCGTCCAGGCAGGAGGCATGGGTGCCGCACGGCGTACCATCTGCCCAAGGCAGGCTGCCTTTCCTGGTGGCGCACTGAGCCTGGCCTGCCTCCTGGCACCACAGCTGGCCGCATGTGTCCACGTCGGTCACGTTGGCACAGTGGCGGAACGTCTCGCCGAAGGCCTGCCGGCATTGGCGGTCCAGGCTGTATGTCAGGCCTGGCGGCTCAATGGGCAGGGGGAGGCTATTCTCAGGTGCATCCAATAGGCAGTCCCCTGGGGCGGGAGAAGAGGGAGGAGGCGGGGCATCAGGGGGGAGGGGCATTTCGTCACTAGGAGTCTGGGGCGGGGGTAGTATTTATTCTAAGGCTGATGATTTGGGACTCATTAAAAAAAAACACATTTGTGAGGAGGGGGGGGGGGTTACAAAAATGCAACAGCGTCTAACAGTTATTTCATGGGGGGGGCAGCGTTCAACCGGAGCCTCCCCGTTTTTACTAATGCATCCCACCAGTCAATTTATAACCTCTGCTGATTTATGCTAGATTTATTCGCCAGTTATAAGTGCCGAAGAGGGGGTGCAACAGTAACTCCTATGTGTCCCGCTGTCTGCCCCGCCTCCCCCCCCCGCCAGCCCCCACTTAGCTTTAAGGTGGAAGGAAACGGTTCTTAAACACGGAATGTGAGAACCAGGGAGAGTCAACAAGTGACTCAGAGGAAAGGAGGCGCATCCGAAAAACCTGAATCACTGACAGGCATAAATCGTCCTGATATGTGTGTGGCTTTTTTTTGTCGGTCATCCCTGCAGATTCATCTCCCCGCTGCGGGAATGACCTTGGCGGACACGACTGAGCGCTGTGAGGAATTCCGAGTTATTTTTTGCACACAGGTTGCGGTAGCCAAGCACCCCCCTCACCCAACACCCCCACCCCGCAAGAGCCAGTATGCTTTCTAGTCGCCCCAGCCCACTGAATGGCATTCCCATGTGTTAAGTACAAAAGCATTTACGCTTTCTGGAAGACCAGCACAGACAAAATATATTACTGTTGTCATGATGCTCTCTGTAGGACACACAGTAGGGGGTTTTTAGAAACCATAATTTATGTTTTTTTCAGGGGGGGAGGGGGTTGTGAAAGAAAATGCCCCTGAAAAACTAGGTCAACACAGGGATTTTACCTCCCCCGAAGAGCAACATAACAGTTCATCATAACTCTTTAAGGCTAGTAATAGACTTTTAAGGCTAAAAGTCAAAAAAGGTTCAATGAAATTGTAACTGTCAAACACTTTGGTTTGATTTTGAACCTCAAGTGGGTTAGGATGCTGTGCCTGTGATTGGAGTGACTGGAAGAGCGCTGGTTCAAATCCCAGGGTCAGCAGAGGTGATTTCACAACTGAGCCCCTGAGCAATTGTCTTAACTCCTGGTTGCTATGGGGACTGTCTGACCCCACAATTGTAGGAACTGTAATGCGTAAAACCAAAATGCAGAGCCCTGTGATAATGCAGAACTTGTAACACCTGTAACACAGGAACAGCAGGGAGTCTCAGCAGGATAATATAAATATGAGTCTCTGTAAGTAAGGCTGGCAGCGTGCTTACCATGACCCGCGTCAAAGAACTCTGTGACATGGTAGGCGCTGCAGGGCGACCAGGGCAGGGCTTTGCTGAGGTCCTCGAACACGGGGGCCATCACGTGGTGTCCGCCGAGGTGCCCGAACTTTCTCTCGCAGTTCCTGGAGTCGTCATGCGGCATGCTGAGCACGTGACCTAACGAGACAGATGCCGCCCCAACACCATTAGCACTGAACTTCTCACTCCCCCCACAGCGATGAACATTTTCAGGGCAGTAGGTGTTATTTAATCCGGCAATGACGCGGACACCTAGTTCGTGGGCTACAGTGAAGGCGGTCTGCAGGCCGTTGTCCTCGACGACGAAGCAGCTCCTTTTCGGGTCACACATGGTGCCCACGTCGGCCACCCCCAGGGTGCTGCAGCTGTGGTGCCCGCAGATGTCCTGCAGACGAGGAGAGACACAGCAGATGCTACGTGGTGACGCTGTTTCTGCTCCGCGCTTTTCCACTCCGCCTCCGGTCGGCCAAGCACACGTTAGTCTATCCATCGTAAAAACAGAGCCGATGAACCAGGGCCAGAGCTCTGTTTGGGTTCAGGGGGGGAGCCTCTGGCTCACGTTCTGAGCACAGGGGCCCCAGGTCTGCCCCCTCGACCCTTCTGCTTTCCACAGGAACCAGACAAACTAGAGACGTGGTTTAGCACTTAACTGGAAACCCGTCTGCACTCGGGACGAGCGCAGCAGATCGGAACCTGGAGCGGGTCCCGCTACGCCGGGATGCGTGGTGCTCAGACCCTCCGTCAGCCATTTGTGGCAAAACGGACGTTTCCTGTCTACTAACTGATCCACAGATGGGATCCTCGGCGCTAATCCCAACGAGTGGGTGGCATTTCCCAGCCACAGTATCTGGACAGAAGAGCAAATTTCCAAAACTGGCTCAGTTTATTTTTTTTGTTGTTTTCGAGATTAGACCACCAGTGACCTAAAATCAGGTTTCCTCATGATATGTTACAGTACTCGGAACCAAAACTCACTCATTCCTCAAGTAATCCAATGAAGAGCTTTCGTTAGATTTCCCAAAACCTGACAGAAATGGTACTTACAAACTGAGTTTAGAAAATTTTAAGTTTCTAATATACTACAGAGCTAGTGAAGATGGTACCAGACTGGTAATCAGTGACCATACTTCTCAGACTGGGTACAAAGTTCATATTTCATGTGCCACAACAGCAAGACCGTCAGAGGGGCAAGGATACCCTGGCAGATTCAGGGAGCCCGACACTTTACTGAATATGAAAAACACTAATGTATATGCTCAAGAAACATTGTACATCTGCTCAGTAAATTCTACCGTGGCCGACTCTCCCACCGTTCACGGGGCCCGAGGTGACATTTTGTCAGGGGGCCCTGAATATCAATGGACCAGCACACGATTATTGGGGTACAGAGCTAATGGGATTGGGTTCTGCAGCTCCGTGGATCTAGAACCCCACTTCTGTGGGAGGTGTTCCACGCAAGCCCTCACCTGTCGGGTGAACAGGAGCGCCGTGTCGTAGTGCTCAGGGTTCCGCTGGCTCCTGGGGTTAAACAGCTGCTGCCAGGCACAGAAGTTGCGGAGGGTCAGGTCGCCGTTGGCCGAAACGCTGGGCCCCGCCTCCTGGTCCTCCACCACCAGCATCTTCACCACCACCAGGCTGACTGAGTTCTTAAGGCTGGGGTGCTTGTAGACCTGGGCCGCCATGCTGACCAGGGTCAGAAGGTAGTGCTGTGCGTGGAGTGGGAAGGTGGCACAAGCCGTGGGTCACATGGTAGGAGAACCGGGCCAGATCAGAACCTTCTTCATGAGGGCAGGGTGAGCTACTACTTACACTACTGAGGTGAGTACACTAGTGCTCATTATTATGTGCCCCTTGCAATTATGGGGTGTCTCGATCAGATCTAGGCAATAGTCGGTCTGTGAGCCATATCCAGTCTGCAGAGCTCTGGCCTCCATGATCATTAAAATGGAAAACAAACAGGTATAGTTCTAAGGTTTTATGTTCCAGTATATGAAGATGACCAGAATTTTGCTCACAAATATTTATTTGAGTTAATAACAAATAATCTTAAAATTTAATAAGTCTATTATTGTAGCTTTCATGGAACATGAAAATAAGCATTAACAAATGGCGCTGACTGACTTTGTGAAGTTAAGATTTGGCCCTCAACGGAAAATAATTGCCCAGGCCTGGTCTAATGAACAAATAACCTAAATTATGTGGAAAATCTCTAAACCACTTATGCATTTGGAAAGAAAATACGAGAAACCTGAGAAGCAAGCAAACTTTTTAGCAGTCAGTATTTAACTAAATTATAAACATGGATTTTCAAGTCTATTTTGTTAGAAGTGGCATTAAGCACTTCAGCTGACTGTCACCGATACGGGTCGGACGGTTTAAGAATCGCTCTCCTGCTTAATTATCTGTTGAGTTGTAGCGCGGGTTTAGGATTTCAGTCTGGGCACGGCGGAGCGCTTTCAGAAGCTGCGGTTTGCATACTCGTGTCGGGAGATGGATTGTATGTCTGCGGTCTGCGATTCGGTTAGTGCCTCCTTGCGCAAACACACCGCACCGCTATGTACACCAGCAGACGGGCACACACACGCTCGGCAACGTGACACATTTATAGAATAGTGCATTTACTACACTCCAGGGTAGAAAAGCAGTGCCCCACCAAAACTTGAGTATCGTCTGGTCGAGGCCCAGTGTTTACATTTATGCAGATTCATTTCCAGTCCAATTAATCCCACATTCTTTCCGACCGAAACTAGCCGACTTTAACGACGTGTTAATTTCTTCACTGTGGAGATGTTGAGTACTCTGTGGCACGTCTTGGCCGCTCTTGGCCAAATTCATACAACACGGGGCAATTTAGTCGAAACAGATGGTTCCTTTTCGTTAGGCGGGTGACAGACCTTCCAGCTTGCGGCCATCTTGCTTAAGGACTGTAAAATCCTCCGGTGGAAGCCCTTAATCCACTGTTTTTCATGGGAAAATGTCTGAATACTACTACAACATATAAAAGTATGTGCCTTTGTCCCTCTGGCGGGGAGATACTGACAATACTCCTTATGACAAAATGTGAAACAAAGATCCCCTCTCACTAGATGCCTTGCGGTCTTCAGAAACTCCCTCTGCAACAGACGCACTGCTTTACATTTCTTTATTGGATGCATTTATCCAACTTGACTTAGAATAGAGGAAAGGGTTACAATTGATGGCCATTGCGTGGGATTAGAACCCATGACCTTCACACTGAGAGCAAAATACCCTAGTGGTTGAGCTACAGGAGCAAACTAGACAGTTTCCCTTCAGTTCTCCCAAATAAATTCTTCATCTTCAGTTCTCCTGGCAGATTCAAAGACACTACACTTTGAATTCTCCTAATGAGGTGTATTTCATAAGCATCTCAGAACTTGTCCTCATGACCTTCCAGTAAAATCACAGCAGAAGATTCTTAAGCTGCTCGAAATGTCCTGTTTGTCAGCTTCGATGTCAAAAAAAAGACTACTGTTTTTAATTGTTTCATACATTTATCTTGGTGAATAACATTGTTCATCGCTTTTGGAGGACTTCCAGGGTAAAGTGCTTAGATTTCTCAGGTCATTCCCACTTCTACACTAAAATCCAGTGTGTTACTGCAGGATTTAACAGACGATGGATTGCACCCATCAGTCGATACAATATCAATGACTTTCTGCCAACTTTTTCGAATAACTACCATTAAAACCTTCAAACTCTTAAAATTTAGTGACCCATAATAACACTGGTAATGTGTTTCCTAATCAAGCAACGCCAGTCAATCATGACACTTAGCGATAATTCTGCGTGCGCTGCCGGTAAATCAATCCGGATTTAACGGAAATAGTTGAAGAGCAAACTTCCTTTCCGTGGAGCCGCTCGCCACAGAAAGTGAATATTTGCTAAACTGATGGAAACGGTCGCTCATTCCGCGCAGTGTGGACTATCGTAACAGAAAGGCTGCATCCGTCCGCTTAAGGGTTCTGGGAAGAGAACCAGTGCTCTTAAAAGTATGCGGGAAAATATGCCCAACTTTCCTGAGAAATTTCTGACGTGAATACGTATAAAATTACTCTTGGCCAAACGGGTTGGCGCAGGAAGCGGCCATTTAACGGCCACGCATTAAATACCGGAATAGAGACTGCCTTATGTCGCTCCTAAAATATATTTGTATTACAAGCTACTGGAACAAAAACGGCTTCATTTTTTTGTCAAGCTCATTCAGAAGTTACCCAATCGACTGTATAAATAGCTCACATTAAAATGCTATGATTGTGGTAAATTCTGTATAATTTCAGCGCGACATTGTTAATTTAAAACAAATATCAGTTTACTGGAAATAACGCGCAATAAATGTGCTTAAGAGTAGCCTATAGAAATAAGTTTGATATTATATATATACTGTATGGCTATAGAGACACTTACCTTCAGGTCGTCCCCGTAGAAACGTGCCATCGTTGAATCTGCCACCACCAAAGTTTCTATGTACCTCTCCGCGGACACGAAGCGCTTCTCTCTTGGCACCGGCGATGCGCGCATCTCCCCCGATAAAATCGGAGCTCCTTGTCCCCTTTGCTCGTCTTCCTTTCGGTCGATGAGTATTTCTTGTACCCGCTTTTTAACGACATGCGGCTGCATCTGGGACGATTCGGCTCTCCCGCTGCCAGTCTGAGGCTCGATGAGATATTCATCTCCATCTGTTATAAACGATCCGTAGATCCCGTAACAAATACTGACAGCAACTACAGAGTCCGGCTTTGAGTCTACAGTCCCCGAATAGAAGCAGCCTTTCAAACTGGTCCCGACCGCATCTGTCTCGTTAATGTATCTGAGAATGTCAGACGCGCGGTGACCAGGAGGATGTAGGATTTCTTCTTGATCCGCACGGAAGTCCGACGTCTTGGGCAGGGAGTTTGATCTAATTCGGTGGATCTTAATTGCTGGGGCTAAGAAACTCTCATCCGGAGTCAAATTCAGAGTGAACTCTTTACCGAAAGCGGCAATTCTGAAACTCACCCGGTCTTCGCTCCGTGTCCAAAAGCGACCGCTATTCCTCTCATTTATTCTCAGAGGTATAATTTCCTCCGATTCGAAAAAGTCGGCAAGTGCAAAACGAGTAGAAAACGCAAGAAATATTATAGCTATAACTGAACTCATTTTTTAAAAATCAACGTGTAGACTTTATGTCAAAAGGGCCTATAGTTTTAATAACTAATTTTAAAATAAAAAAAATACAACAAAATGAACACCTATATCCGAAAATGTGTAGTAAGGTTACATTTATTCGCTGACAAAACGTACACGCACAACTGCTTGACCGCCTGTTGATTTTTATACTTGCATATGAGACTATATTCAAGTTTTTTCGACCACGACCTTTTACAAATGCACCTGATGCCTGAATTCTCCTGGTCTATGATTTAAATATTACTCTGAGCCTTAACTTAAAGCTAATGCAATTTCATTTGTAACCTGAGCTTTCCACTTCTCAGCGCCAGTGAGGGGTCCTTGATGCTGTGGTATTTATACCTTCTGGCTTAAACATTAGAGGTTTATTTTTGATGTTCCTCGCCACTTCTCTCTCTCCTCCCACTCGCACTTCATGAAAAAAAATCTTTTGGATGAAAGTGATCCAATGAGAACAGACTGGCACTCCTCCGCCGTACTAGCCATAGTCTGACTTCCAGACAACTATTAGTAAAGTTTGTACACGCATCAGTAACGCTTTCGCAAAAATCCATTTACATTTACAAGAGAGAGAAGAGAGAGAAAGAGAGAGAGAGAGCGAAAAAAAAAACTTCAGCTAGAGAAGCAACACAGATGAACCGCAAATATGCAGTGTTTATAACTGTTTTATCGGTAGCTGCGACGTATATGCAAGGCGAAAAAGAGAAATTGCAAGTGCTGTACTCCATCCCGTAAAGTCGTAATTTGACAGCATCGCCGTTCTGTTGACGCTATCCAGCGCGCGCTCTTCGGCTGTGATGCTTAATAAACACATGTTAGTGACATCCAATAGATAAAACAAACCCGAAGGTCTTGGAGGAGTGTCAACATGTCTTGCCAACATATTTTACAAATGCAAAACAAGAGTGGGTCGAAAGAGTATGTGTACTGAGACAGAGGTCTGGAAACCACAAGAGATGTTACATTCAAAAAGCGGAGTGAGGTGTCACAACACCACCCACGCTGAAAGGCTGGCCCGCGTCATTCTGCTGGAACATTTAATTAGTAGTCGCCAACAAAATCTCCCAAGGGGAAAATATTTTTTAATCTCCGTTAAAATAGATTATTGTACTATGGATTAGAGGCAGGCTGACGTATTATTCTTCAATAAAGAGCATGTTTGTGTCTTTAATCTGAATTTATTGTAAACTTCGTGTTCCGATACTTTAACATATATAACCAGATAACGTATATACCCTTGCAGTTCCTCTCTGTTTAACATAGGGTTTTATGGTAATTACAGAATGTTTCACGTGAAACGTTAGGATGTAGGGTATATAAAATCAGAACTCCATTTCGATACTCCAGAAATAATCCCGCATATTGTCCAAACATCCCACTGCTAACAATGTATTCTCATTGCCGTTAGGTGGCGACATTGGATCAATTAAATATTGAGCCGTTGACTTACAATATAGAAGAATTTGTTTCACTGAAAATACAAGGTCAAATAATTAGCATGTGCAAACAGAATAATTTCCGCACAGTGTGAAGGTCGTATAGTTTGTGACGCTGCCCAAGTGTCAAGACCAAATGCAATATTATCAATTTACTTGCAGAAGTCCTAACTTGATTTTTGTAATCGTGACTGGTTGTGAACAACAGAGGTCGCAGTTGCATAGAAAGAACGAATCCGTTTCCTCCTTTCCAGGTGTAAATACATCCAGAAAAAGGCCCAAAACGATACTTAAAAAAATGTGTACAATTTCATTAAACATCTCTACTGACATTTTAGACATGTTTGGAAAGAAGAAAACATGTTAGTATTGAAAATCACCCAGTCTTTCAATGAATGTGAAATTTCAGCAACAATCTTTGCTTTATAGATTAGAATAAATGTTAGTATATCTACATCAGTGTAACATAATTGAGCAAATGGCAATTAAATATTTTCTGTTAGTTTTTATTGACCATATTGTTGCTTTTTCCGTTTTCTTTTTTTGGCATCATAAGATACCATCACCTTTACATTGAAACCACAGAGGACGTTTTGTGAAGCCAACACAACTTAAATTCATAACAAGTAGATTCATACCACTGATGTGATCATTTCGTGCCTTATACAATCCCATATTATTATGCTCAAATGCTTTTTTCTGCATCTACGGTAGATATTTATTAAAATAGCTCAAATTACATATTGGGGGAAAAAATGTCTTCCGAACGATTCAATTGGCTGCCAATATTTTTTCCTCATGTATTGCTTTAATGTAAAACTGCATATTTCTTGATTCCATAATAAACCAGTACATCTAAAACACATCGAAAGGGATACCCAGGCGCTGGGCGAATATCAAACTGATTACAACCTGTTAATGAAGACGGGGATAACGGCGATACGTTGTAGTAGTTATAGTCAATAGCATTTTAGCTATGACAACTGATAAAAATGACCAATTAAGAAGACAAAAATAATAAGAAATGCCTGGCAGAAATATTTTGTATTGATGTAGATTTTTCGGTGGTTACACGGCAGATTTATCCATTTTAAATTATCCAGACTGACAATCGGTTTTGTATGCTGTAAAACTTAAGTATGTCTGTCTGTATGATTGTTGCAGAACACAAAAACTAAAAGGAAGACGCTCTTTTCCATAGAGGAAAACAAGACACAAAGGAGGGGATGTTGTTTTAAGATGCTGTACCTTTACGCGGAACAAGACAATTTACACTGCAGTTTTTAACGCTGCATTGGATGCGTAACTAGGCTCACATCAGCACTCGCGCAAAGCGTTGTCCAGCGCACGAGCCAGTGGGAGGAAAAACCCGCCTCGCGCTGCGCTGTTAAGTGATTTTTGCAGAGCTCCAAGTGGCTGCGGTCTTAACCTTAAACCGGGAGGCATATCCAATGAGCTTCTCAGCGCCTCCCTAAAACTCTGATTACAACTCCACGATGTTTACACATGACGCAAAAGCATAAAGCCGCTAGAAAGACGAGATCATTTCTGCAGACAGGTAGAAGATGTGAGTGCGCAATACTGGTGATTCTGTGCTGAGTGGACGCGCAGCGGAAACTGGAAGGCGACAGTGCCTTGGATTATTTGATAGGGCTTTAATAAAATTTATTATCATAGCCGATATCAAACTTTTTCAGATTGGTCATTTCTTCCATTCATTATTATTGTTATTGCACAAAATAGCATACTTAACTGTAGCCATGTCCATGTTTATTTGGACAATAGTGATTATTTTGAATCTCTTATTCATGTTCACCAGAATAAGCCATTCCATGGAAAGTGATTTTTGTTTTCCAGATCGCCTGGACCAGCAAACCGCGGAACACAATTTTGTCCGCCCAGAAGAGGACATTCAGCGGCAGCACGCTGTTTTTCGAATTAAAGCATTCAAGGAGAATTTCGTACTTAATTTATTTCCAGATTCCAACTTTCTTGCACCTACCTTCTCCGTGCAAACCACCGCAGCAAATCCAGACCTGAGTCGCTGCTTTTACTCCGGTGATGTCAACTCAGACAAGGATTCCTATGCTGCCTTGAGCCTGTGCAACGGTCTGCAAGGCGCATTTGGTTACAAAGGGTGGGAATATTTCATCAGTCCCGCGCGCAATGATTCGGCATCTGGAAACAGCGGCTCCGCAGAGAGGGCGCACGTACTGCGACGCCGGAGGAACCTTAACCTGAGCGCCAATGTGACTTCCAGGTGTAGTGTGGACTCCGGTCAGCATCATGACATTTTGCAGTCCTTGGAAAGGTACAAACACATGAAAGGGATCAATAAAGGGAATATGACTGAATCTTCTTTAAAAGGCTTGGGCAGGTCCAAGAGGTTTGCTTCGGTGCCTCGATACGTCGAGACCCTTATTGTTGCAGATGAGTCCATGGCTAAATTCCACGGCGACGACCTTAAGCATTACCTTCTGACCCTCATGTCAGTCGCCGCAAGGCTTTACAAGCACCCAAGCATTCTCAACTCCATCAACATTGTAGTTGTCAAGTTTATGGTGATTACCGAAGCTGAGAAGGGACTCAAAGTTTCCGGCAACGCCGCGCTGACTTTGCGCAATTTCTGCACGTGGCAGAAGAAGTTCAACAAAAACAACGACAAACATGCTGAATACTGGGATACCGCTATCCTCTTCACTAAACAGGTAAGAACGGATTTGGGGTAGGATTACGTGGTGCATCGTAATTCCATCTATTTAAAGCACCTGTGTATGTGGTAAATTAAACAAAAGTGCGAAGAACTTTAAATGATAGTTACCGCGACCCTATACTTGATAAGCGGGTGACATATGGAGGAATGAATGATACAGGGTTCTCGCATTTTGCAGCTATAGCAAGTATGCAATGTAAACAGTTGTCAAACAAATGTCGAAATTACTGTAAAAAGTTGCTGTTAAAGATTTCTGCGAATTTTTGATCTCGGTTCACGCCCCTGATGGCATTGTTTGCGGACTGGACGGACCCTTGAGAGAAATATAAAAACGGTGAAGGCTGTTTTCGATGCACAGCACAGGCACAGAGATGTCCTTATCTAAGTCATCTTCGCTGTCACCGTGCCGTCGTTGGCCGTGTCTAGCCAAGCCCCGCCTTCGCCTCTCCCAGCGCTTCCCCCATTGGTGCACGAGTCAATTCACGCAATGACACTGTGTCCAACTTTACATCTTACGCCAGCTCGCTTCGCTTTTTTTTAATGAAATGATTCACTGGCAGTCCATACGTCTTCCTACCACTTATTATAAGCAAGGTCTGGTAGGAATAGGCTGCAGCCTAGATTTCAGGCAGCTGAGGGGACAAAGCATTGGTACACTCACGAGAAGATGGTAGTATAGCGCAGGGCACATATACGCACAGTCAAACACTACAAAGAATTTCGAGATGCCAGTTAACATTAATGCATGTGTTTGGGCAGTGGGAGAAAACTCACATGATGTAAGGAAAATGCACAAACTCCACACACATACAACAGGGACAGAATTCAAACCCTTAGCCCTCGGGGTGTGAGGCAACAATGCAAACCCATTTCACCCACTGACCGGAGATGACCTACGGAATATCAAAGGGAATGATTGTTCAGCAATTTACAGTTTTATTGCTATAGAATTTCCCAAGTAACTAATCGTTGTGCAAGTATATGATGGAGATGATGACGACTATGTGAATTTGACTTGTTAGTTTTGTTATGTTGATAATTGTCTTGAAGGGTATAATGTCTTTTTTCATCATTCATTTGAAATGCTGCATGTGTTTTAACACTGTTTCAACAGCATAGAGCAATTCATTCAGCCTAATTCTTTCTTGTCTTGCTTTTTGTGAGTGAGCTGAAAATGTACTTCCAGTAAAGTTTTATGAGTTAGGGAGATGACAGTTTTAAACACATGCTCCCTGCAAAGACCACACAAAAATATTTGCTCCTGTAATTAATGTCAAAGTCAGACAATCATTTTTATATTAATGTTTCTCTTGCTGAATCCGGTTTTCCACCCTATAAAACATCAGCACACAATACAACAGGGTTAAAATTAGCCCACCTGTAATGAGGATTACTATTCTTACCAGGCAACCAAAACACTAGACCACTAGCTAGTTTAGCGATTAAGGATGAAAGCTCTTAACTTGAAAATTGCTGCTGCAATGCGAGGATGCTGACCCTGACGCTGTTGAACCCTTGAATAAGACAAAGTCCACAAAGTACCCAACTGTAGGAACAATAAGTTGCTGTTGATGGCCGTGTAGGAAAATCAGCAGAATGTGAAGCTGACTGTGTGAAAGACTGGGATAGCGGTGTTGTGGAGGGCTGAATCTGTCCAATGGGGTAGAGGGTTTAGCGATCCTGTTGCAGGTCTTGAGCTGGTAGCTCATGGAGTGCAGTCGTGTTAAATTCCCCACTATCACACTACATACAACACGTTAGAGATACTCTGGACCTTTTTATGGGTTTCTGGAGTTGAGCACTGCCCCCCCCACTCCCCCACATGTAAACTGTTATACCTGCTGCTCCTGGACCCCTGCCCACCTCCCGGGCAACACCGCACACATTTATCCACTGGCCATTTCCCCTGGAAGATTTCAAAGACGTACTGCCAAGTTAATTAAGGTCAAGCGACGTGGGCTTCTGACAGATGGAAACACAGGCGCGTGATCTGCACACCTGATACGCGGAGAGCGTACATGCGGGTGAGTAGGCGCGCGGAACGCCAGCGTTTGGAGCTCGGAGGTTTTTCCCCTTAGCTCATTTCCGTGGCTCCTGCCATGGGTTTGCGTCATGGGAATCCGGGAGAGCTCTCTCATCCGCAACATCCCGGACCACCTGTCTCACTGCAGCATCTTAAAGAATTCCGTTTTGGGCTACAGCTTTTGGGGGAAAAAAAATGGAAAAAATTCAGCAGAGAACTGGTCAGACAAAGCGGCCCCTTCTACGTTACCCTGTGATGAGTTTTTTTCTGGTACAATGGGACAGTGGTTTTTTTGCAGCATGCCGGTGGAGGATGCCATTTCTAAAAAGGCTGGCATTGGCATTTGTCTACATAAACTCAAGTTTATTGAGTTTGTTCTCTTTAATTTAGACTTCTCTATTTTTATTAGGATCATGCGTATCCTGGAGTGCAGGTCAGGGATTTAATGGGAAGTATCCATTTCTTTGTGACGTCACCACTTCCAGCTGTGAGACGCTGGTCCTCCCCACCCCCACAGCCCACACCCCCTCGTTGCAGGGAGTCTGTTTCCCATTAAGCTTCACTGGGCTGTAATGGGAGAAGTCCCAGCGTAGCGAGAGAAGGCCCGGGGATTTGGCCCACCTGCTAGCTCATAGAAGCAACATTGCGAGACGTTTCCAACCCGGCTCGCAATGGACGAGGATGCTTGGCGGCCATCTTGGATGACCTCTGAGGGCCAGGGGACGGATACACAAGCTCGGGGGATATACAATATACATGTATGTATCCGGGATGAAACCCTGACCCCCATAGCCCTATAATTACACATTTACTAAACAGTAAATGTCTAATCATTTACACATTGACTTGACCAGGGGTGGGCAATCTTATCTGCAAAGGGCTGGTGTGTATGCAGGTTTTTGGGATAACCTGTAGGTCAGCTGTTCAAACCCAGGTGTGAGGACTCTTCAGCCAATCAGTCCTCTAATTAGTGACCTAATTAGGGAGTTGCAGCAAAAACCTGCATACACACCGGCCCTTTGCAGATAAGATTGCCCACCCCTGGACTAGACAATATAATTCACATACTACATTTACCCAGTGGGAATACTTTGGTACATGGCAGGGGGGTAACCAGGCCCTGAAAAAGGGAAAGCTCCTCATTTCTTGTGTCAATGTTTTCCAGTCTAGTCCTTGGGCACCTACAGTCAGTCCACATTTTTGCTCCTTCCCAGCTCCCTACCAGGAGGGAGCAAAAATATGGACTGTGGGTCCCTGAGGACCTGATCGGAAAGCACTGCTTATGTTTCTTAGCCTGCGGTTCTGGTTCACCTGAGCCTCCCTCCCGGGTCAAGCAGGCGTCTGCTGGGAGAGGATTTTGCGGTTGACGAAATGTCACACTACTTTAGTTTTCCCATTTTGGGAGGTCCCAACACAACAGAAGAGACCCTCACACTGCCACTCATTCCAGAAATGGCAAGTCATACTGTAGCTTGGCACACGGCCATAGGTCAGTCCTCTGTTTAGTGTTCCATCATCTGCAAATAAGAAGAACAGCAGGACATTGATTAAGGCAGGGCTGCCAACATTGGTCAGCTGGCTGGCCTGAGATTTTCAATTTGAGAGAGTCTGCACACGCATGAAATGTATGTAATTTTATTACCTTGTAAATAGTCTGTAGGGTTTGCAGAGTACTGCTTTTGATGTAGCTAATTTTAGGTTTATAATGGAATAATATAGATTTGCAGTAAGATTTCTTGCGTGAGCATGAGAGTCTGAAAGTGTGAATGTCAGGTTGTTGGCAACCCTGATTAAAGTCTCAGATAGCATGTGTTTAGGGGAACTTCTGTGTCAGAGTAGTTATTGCAAGACCGTGAGTTGCTGTCTTTTGCTGTTAAATATATTCCTTTAATTTTGCACTGTCAGGATGTTAGGAAACATTAAAAACCTCAGAGCCAAACACTCCCTAATACCGCATATCGTTTGTAGTACTGGTTTTACGGTGGATTATGGCAGGATCAGGCTCTTCCGTCGTTAGCATTGCCCTTCGCCATCATCTAGCTTGAAGCCGCTGGATCATATTTAATACTTGTCCTGGTAGATGTTCTGGACGTGGCTTGTATGGAGACGGTACGCAGATGCGATGCTAAAGAGATACAGCTGTCTGGTGAATACTATGAAGACGTCTTCCTAGAATTCGCAGAATCTTCTGTGCCGCATCATTGAATTTATTAGGTACATTTGGGGGAATTTTGAGGTAGAAATTGGTTCCATAAAGCATTTAAGGGCTCCCATCAATGACACAATGGGCACTTCTCACACTGTCCTCCTGACATTTTTTTCCCTCAAGAATGTATCTTATAAAGCTGATGGAGGAGAAAAATATCTTCCACTTGCTATGATTTGGAAAACAAAATGGTAACACTCATGTATAATGCATTAAAAATACATTCATGATGCAATATAATGCATTCATAAAGTATTATAAACACGGCTACAGCTATTTATAAAAAAAGGCACAACACATTATAGCCAAGTTTATTATGTATTATGAATGCTCACTGAAGTTCTCATCTATAATGCATTATAGATACCTTCATAATGCAGTACAAAGCATCCTTAATGTTTATACTGATCTTTATAATGTATTATGAAGGTACTTGTAGTGCATTATAGATGAGAGCTTCATAGACCATTCATGATGCTTAATAAACATTGGCTATAGTGTGTTATGCTGTTTCATAAATATTTATAGTTGTGTTTATAATACTTTATGAATGCATTATAATGCATTATGATGACTGCTTTAAGTAAAGCGTTACAAAAAAAACTGCTAGAGACACACGCACATACGCTAATCACTATAAGACCCCTAACCAGATTCATTTAGAATTTTATTGATTTGTTCATATTCCTCAGGTACCATCAGATTTACACATTTTAAATGGACTTTATGGCTCCTGGCAGTCCCAAGCGGATCCCATGAGAGTGCTGAAAGAATCCCAAGTTATGACGGACGTACCGCATGCCAGCACTGGGCTCCGACAGGGTACTGTCAGTCCCCACTTATGGTGAGACGCGAGTCAGCCAGAAGGTAAACATTCGAGTAAAGCCCGAGCGTACTGCTGACAGAAAGGGGCCGGAGATTCTGGAAGGTAAAACCCTGGAGGGAAAAGGCTTCAGTCACCAAACAGGCGTCTCAGGCATTACAGGGACTGAACAGTCTAGCACTGAGTCAATTTATGTAGATTTATCTAATATTCCAATATGGTTTTTGTTGGTAAGTGGCAGTGGTGATGAAGTACGTGTCAGAGTTAAGCAGGACTGTGGTTTGTCACTGATTTAATTCTGCATTCTGCACAGGGCTTAAGAATAGAAGCTATTAAGAACATTTTTCAACAACCAGCTTTTGTGACATTAAACAAATCCCCAAAGATGCCGGGAGGAGAAGAGGGGCTGCTCCGCTAATGTTCCACCACATTGAAAAGGATGCGGACAATAAGCAGAGCCCACTTACGGGAATTCAGCTACCCAGAATCCCATCCTTCTCTCTGATCGCTGACGGGGGTGTCAGTTGTTTGAGTCTCTGTGTGCCGGTTTACCAGGTTTGACTTGGGATTTGGGATGTTAAGCAGACCACATATTGTTCAGATAAATTTATTTAATAAATAAGTTTACATGCATTAAGTTGGTTCCGTATCAGTATTTGTGTTTGCTCAGTATACGGTTGGTTTAATGCACTGCAAAAAAAAAAATCAAATTTCAAACTTAAGATAAACTGTTTCTGTTTTGAGACAAGATGGCCTAAAACTAACACAATTATCTGCCATTGCAGTAAGAGAATTGTACTTGGCCAGATTTCCTAAAATAAGACAATATGGTTAAATGCAAGCAAATTAATCTTATTCATAAGATGTATTATTAATCAGTTTATTAATGAAATTAGAATCCTGTCTGAAAATAAGAGAATGCTGCTTGCTTAGATTTTAATTTTTTGCAGTGCATACTTTTCTGTCTGCAATCCAACTGAAAACACAGCTTGCAAAAATAGTTTTATAAACACTGAGATGGCCTTGAAAATTTTAATTTCTTTTTATACTCATGGGATTGGACAGTCAAGTGTCTGCTCTGTGATGTAATGAGTCCTCATTTATATGGTTGCTTGAACTAACTATCATTTGGCTCACGGGTGGGGGGACTGCAGCTGTGGCATGGCTGGGGATTGGCTGGGGATTGGCCCTCGCCTCCAGCTTGGTGGGAACACTTTTCCCTCGGGAAGCATGCAAATGGAACAATTTGGACCATAAAAACCCAAGAAGCGTAATGAAAATCTCATGTTTGTACTGCCGGGCGCCAATTAGGTCAATCCTCCATGAAGAGTTATATAAACTGATGATTAAGAGGTTTGGAAGGACTGGAAGGAGAACAGGCAGTGTGTAATGAAACCATAGCTTGCTGGGGAAATCAGAGTTGCCCACGGCAACGTTTATACTTTCAAATGTGATAGCTGTGGTAGTGGTTTCTGGGTCTTTGATTACAACTCTGTTGGTATAACCGTAAGAGCCTGTTTGGGATTCTTTTTAGCACAGTTTTTGTACCATAGTGACCTACAGAGGTGATGTTTCCCAAAATGTCATTGCCTTTTCATCCATGGCATGCCACAAAGTATGACAGCGTTTTAATGGCATACCGTGGCAGTGTTTAAATAGAGCTTGTTTGCTTGAGTCAGCGACAGTTTGCTTATGAATACTGGATATATACCCTTTCATGGCAATACGGCAAGAAAAACACTGAGAACCGAAAATGAGTTTGAAAAATGGTGATGGACTACAATCCTAAACATTTTTCAAGTTAACATTTCCTCATAGGAGCTCAGCTCTAAGTAACTTCAAACCGAGCTGCACTTAGCGTCCATGAGGATGATGACACTGGAAGAAATAACAGCTAAATATTTCCAGATCTCTTGGATCGCTCCAGTGACATCGGTGTCATTCGGTGAGCTGTCATCTTCGGGGAGGAAAGAGAGAACCATCAGGAATGAAGCTTTGAGTTTGCCCAAGACTGACATCATCTGCAGGGGTGTCCATCAGCTATTTGTTCTGTTCTTCATAGTAACTAGTATGGGTGTCTGTGGTGGGGGGGGGGCATTTGTGAGGCACCTGCTTGTGCACAATGGATGCTATTTGTGTAAACAGGGGCCCCAAGGACTGGGGACTCACTGGGGTCGACTGGGACAAAGCCAAGGAAATAAACAAGTTAATGACCGATAAACAAAAGTGACATTGATCCTCCGTTCACCCTCTCTTCTGCACATGTGCGCACATCTGGATCAGGCTTGTGGAAAGTCTTCTTTGGTGTGTAAGCAATTACTTTAGATGGCTGTATGGTTTTAATGGGATGGGTGTTTTTGAAAACGAGATAAAAGCCGCAATTTGGGTGGGATGTAAATCATACATAATATATAAGTTTAATATTCTACGTTTGTACGCATGTACACGTGTGTGTGTAGTATTGTTACTGTCAGATAGGGTAGGCCGTGTCATGGCTGTTGAGGTTGTCTGCAGTTATAGTGTGAATGGTTTTGTGTGTATCTGCCTAAGTAGAGCCTTCGTCTGCAGTGTCATACTAAGGAGATCACAAACGGCAGTTTAATGCTTATGCAATTAGGCTAAATGGACTCCAGAAACCGAGCGGTGCGGAAAATGGGCCTCTCCTTCCAGTGCAGGCAGTCTGTTAGGTTTCGCATACACTCCTGTCTGAGAGATGTGAGCGTCTGCATAAACAGGCTGCCTGCTGACGTCCCCCACAGATAGATAAGAGGGTCTGACACGAGGGTAGAACAGGAACCGCGGTCCGGCGAAGATTCAGCCGCGTCACAGACGGGATCCACTGAAAACGAATGCGACTACAGCGGGCGGCGCTTAGACCAACAAAACGCAGATACAGATCTTCATAACTGTATGAAACGCTGTGCCACCGCTGGCTTATCTGGAGGACTCTTAGTTAATACTCTTAATACTTTTCAAATACATTTAGTAAATATTGGGAGTATTCAAGACAGAAAACAAGGTAGACAAAGTCCTAATAGAAGTATTGTACTTTAAAGTAGGGTTTCCGAACCGATTGATTTCTGAGGAGCGTTTTACGTTGTGCAAAAATGTCATGTAATTAATAATTTTAACCATTTCTTTTTCAGATACCAAAAGAAGGTGCTAATGTGTGGAGCTGTAAAAAACTGAATATATATTGTTTATATTTGGAAATTAACCAACTCCTCCATGAAACCCCCAGGGTCCTGTGGTCTTGGGGATGGGAAAGCTCTACTTTAGAGCTGCTAAATATGGGAGTAAAGAAGTTCCTGACACACAGGTGTGATGGTACCTAAAGCTCAGCAGATCGCCCTCCCCTTCCCCAAACCTGCTGATTCTCCTTTTCTCTCGGCCAACAGGACCTTTGCGGCGCCTCGACCTGCGACACCCTGGGCATGGCCGACGTGGGCACCATGTGCGACCCCAAAAGGAGCTGCTCTGTCATCGAGGACGACGGCCTCCCTTCAGCCTTCACCACCGCGCACGAGCTCGGTCAGTCCGCCGGGGCCGCCGCATTTGCCCGAACGTGTTCGGTGTCATGGTCCATAGCAATCTGGTGCTACCCGAAATGTGTTTTATTCACAACTTCATTTCAAATCATGCTTTATTTGCCATTTGCACAAGTATGAGAATAGGTATGTTGAAATGCACTAGTTTCCACATATCTCATCATGCTCTCCAGACATGCACATACATATAGAGGTGAGAGCTGAAGCTTGGAGCCTGAACGTAGGGTCAGCCATTTATTCAGCTCTTGTTCAAGAACTCAAAAGGGATGCAGCTACTCTGCCGAGGACAGGAGTTGAAAAAGTCTCTTTCCCAACACGGACATAACCCACTGAGCCACACACATCATCAAATGCATGGCTACTTAGGATTTTATTAACGTTAAAAACACTCTGCAAGGCAACTAAGATTAAAAACGTTTCATAAGGTCTCTTGCGACCACCACAGAGAGTCGTCTCCATGATCTGCTGCTCTGTGGCTTGATGTCTGTCACAGCAGTGAAGGGCTCTTCATAAGGGTCTAACGCAAGCCTTTGTGGCCACTACCTATCATTTCCCGGACCAAACCTGTGCTACACTTTCTACTGTGTGATTTTCCGGTGTCGTGGAAACTCGATCCAACAGCAAGCCCTGGGGTAATAAGTTGGAAAAACAGCTGATATCTCCTGTCACAGTCATTTACCGAGCTTTTCTCTGCTGGGATCGGAAACACTGTTTTTGCCTCTCCTTCCGTATCACTCCTCGTTAATCTTTTTTTTTAAATTGGACTTTGCTGACACTCTATTGAAGCCTCAGTCCTCAGCTGCCATGAGATTCTTTTGAAGTCTAGGTTGGCACTATCTGGGCTCGGTGGCAGTGAGTGTCGAGTAAATCATCTGCGGAGGACCTCGAAGGAGAATTTTGATCGAGAACAGATGGGAGAAACATTTACAGATGTGTGAGAATCACACGGAGTAGGACCGGCCTGGAATGGCTTCAGCAGAACCATACTCTTGTTCTTGGGATGTGGCACATTCAACAGAAGAGTTCTGTACATGGATTTTATCTTTTGTTGTAGGACCTGGACTTGTGATGTGCCCGACTTTGCCTGCTTCTGTAAACGTCCGTATCGGATGCATTAGAAGTTACCCTAAAAGTGCAATTGACAGATTGCTTTAAGTATAGTTTGTACGTTTAGCAGTTAGCAGTTGGGTAATTGTCCAAATTGCACACTTTTACCTGCGCCTCACATGCGATCCCACACAGGGCACGTCTTCAACATGCCGCATGACAACGTCAAGGCCTGCGAAGATGTGTTTGGCAAGCTGAGCGATAACCACATGATGTCTCCCACGCTGATCCAGATCGACCGCACCAGCCCTTGGTCTGCCTGCAGTGCAGCCATCATTACTGACTACCTGGACAGTGGTCACGGTAAGCTGGCTCCCACATTTCTCCTCTCGGAAACCTCCTCTGGTATTACTGTCGGCTGCTTTTGCATTCCCCCGTCGAATAAAATTAGCCCTTAAGTTTTTCCCCTTTGCCAGATCAGCTAATATGAAGGAATTATAATCCTCACATAAATTGTAAGATGGTGCATGTGTGGCATAGGCCAACTGGTTCTTTATTGGCTTTTCCAGTCCAGTTCATGAGTTTGGCGTGAGTGTCTTAGTTTCCTGTTTTTCTTCTTTGGCTATATATTTCACAATAAAAACAAACGACACATGACTGACATGGGTGGAAGAGAACAAACATGATTTTCCAAGCCCATCCATCCATCCATATTCCAAACCACTTATCCAGAACAGTGTTCCAGCAAACCTGGAGCTTATCCCAGGCAACATACGGAATGGGGAACCCGCTGGTTGGGATGCCAGACCCCTGCATTTTTTTTCCTGAGAACACAATTTTTATGTTGTGCTCCAGGTCTAGCTACAGCAATCCCAGCAGTGAATCTATACAATTGTCTCCAAGCCTCGGATGATGTCAGGTCCAAGCCGGTTGACCTTTACTTTCCCATCTGTCTGGAATTATAGGGCTGATAGACAAGAAACGGTTAGTTTGGTACCTGGCTATGTGCCAGTGCAGATATTCAGGGTACAGAGTGTACAGAATATATCGGTTAGTGCTTTTTTCATGAAATGTGCCTGCAGGAACAGGAGTGACATAGAGAAATCAACAAAGGAGGTTGCTTCTAAGCGAAGTTTCAATTGCACTTTTCTCCTGGGATTTTTAGTAAGAACATACAGACACATAGAGAACATTCGGTGCCGCTTACCCCTCTGGTTTGTTAATGCTAGGATCATGTGTTGTTACATTGCTGTAGAGGGCGCACAATTTTCTCTGTTTTTTGGAGAAATCTCGAACCCCCGTAACCAAAACAACGGGACTCTTTGAGCTTAGCCAGAAGGCAAATTTCTCTCAGAAGAGATTTTTTGAGAAAACATTAATGCAAACAGTGCAATTATTTTTAATTTCCAAAATCTAATAATTAACCGCATATCAAAGGACGTAAATTCCTGAGTACCTATTCCAGATTTTTCCAAAAGCCAAAGAAAACAATGAACACTGAACAGCTCTGCTTTAACAAATCATAAGACTTCCATAGTGCCTTTACTGTACTGCTATGTGCATGTATTCAAAAGCGGCACCACTTTTGGAAACTGAACTCGTCCCTTTCTAGTAGTTTCAGCTGATCTCCAGGGAGGTTCCCTTTGTGATTCTTAAGAGGTAGCAGCATTAAAATAGTCTTCTGGCTCAGCCTTATCTATCTGAACCAGAATTTTGTGTTGTTTCATATCACATCCCTTGTAAGCTGCCTTTGCTCAACACCAAAGAGATATAGTTCTGCAGCCCTGTCCTTGTATGGTATGGTGTTTCCCCCCATTTCTACATGAGAGTTCCACATGGAATTTTATTGTATGTTTTTACAATGACAGTATAGGTGTAATATGTCTTATGAAGGTCAATGACCATGAATGGGCAACTAGGGCTAAATAGCATTAGCATTATGTGTGGTACGGGAACCATTAAGAACAAAGGTTTTGTTCTAAATTGTGCGAGAGGACTAGCAATGGCTTCACATTTGTAGAGATGGATAGTTCGGGTTCAGAAATTAAAAATCCAGACCATGATTCTGTTTCAACACACTAGTTGAGTACTCTGTGACTGAGTCAACTGGTTGGTTGAAATAAAATCTTGGTCTGGATTTTTAATTTCTGAACCTGAGCTATCCACCTTTGGCACTGGGCACTACTCTGCTGTGCTAGTCTTGTAAAGCTTATGCACTGTTTGCATCCTACCTCCTGTTGCTCAGTCCTTCAGATATGATCCTTCAATGCACCATCTCTCCTTTGCTCTGCAAAGCACTTTAATATGGATTTGACATCCATTTTCAACTGGTGGTTGTGAGAGTAGTAATGACCAAGCCCTGTCGAAAGTGGATTCCCAGTAGGCATCCATTATAGTTTTACTGTAAGTTAGGGGGAAAATTGGCCACATAAACAGCCCGGTGGCAGTACATTGCTCAGGGTAACATTTAAAATTCTCATTACAATGTAAATACTGTAAACCAATATTTACAGCATGATTTCGTCTGCATGATTATTTTTCAGCCACAATACCCTCACTGCTGTTTCTGTTCTGTCTGCGTGCTTTTCTATGGAGTGAACGATTTTGGTTTCAGGTTCCAAAAGCTTTCGCCATTTTAAGGTTTTTGATTATAATTTAATGTCATGACCGTTTAGCCTTGATTGCTACGCCTTTTACATTTTTTTCCAACTTGTTCTGTTGTATAGTTTTTGCCATGAAATAGACATTTTTGAATCTTTGCTCACAGACATATATTTTTTTACGATGTGGCTCCTAAGATCACAATTGCACCATGACCTGAATGAGCCTACATCATAAACAATGCTAACAAAGCTGTCACCAGCTGGGATTTCTTCTATTGGTTGACAAGGCTTAAGCAGTTTAAGATTTACTGTGGTTGGTGCCATTAGGGGATCTGTTTGAATGAATGAATGAATGAAAGTTACATTTATGTTGCGCTTTTCTAGAAACCCAAAGGGCTTCAACCACTTCAACCACCACCACCGTGTGGCAATTCTGCGGCAGTACGCTCGCCACACAGTAGCTAAGGTGGTGAAGGGGCAGGAGAGAATTTACCAATTAGATACAGGGGATGAATAGGAGGCCAGATTTGATAGGGCTACAGTGGGCAATTTTAGGCAGGAAATCGGGGTACCACCCCTACTCTTTTGAAGGATGCCCAGGGATCTTTTATGACCTCAGAGATTCAGGAGCTCGGTTTCACATCTCATCTGGAGGACGGCACCATTTTTACAGCACAGTGTCTTTGTCACTGCACTGGGGCATTGGGATCCACACAGACCAAGGGATGGGCTAACCTGCTGGCCACACCAACACCTCTTCCAGCAGCTCAGCGGCTTCTCAGAAGCTCCTGATTGCAACTATGCTTTCAGGAAACATACCCAGGACTGGGTAGATTGAAATTAATTTTACCATAATTACTCATGAGTTCCAGTAAATGTGTGCTAAGGAGCCACCCATGGGTGACAACTGAATCACCCTTTATGCCACTGAGCACCTCACCATTCCAAGGCCCCCGGCCCCCAGCCCCCAGCCCTCAGCCCACTCACGCTCCACATTCTGACCTACAGGCTCTCATGCTCCGGAAAATATTTGTGTGGTTCAGCATGAAATATGGTTCGCGTTAGTGGCTAAATCTGGAGACAGGCAGGGGCACAGATCATTTCATTTAATTAGGCCATCTCAGGCATAAATGCTGCCCTGAATTATCTGCACACATACCTGTGGTCTCATTTATTATGAGAACCACAGTCTTGAAATTAGAGGCGAATAAACACTCTTGTAGGCATGTAAATGAAGTGATGCTTTGAAGTCATTTTTGACAGTATGCAGTCTGTCCACAACATGTGTAATGTATGTGGATGCTCATAAGAGTTTTATTTACACAAAAAATGTTCTGAGGGCAGAAGGAAAAATGATTGGTTCAGAGAAATAACCAATCAGATTTTAGAGGAGGTGGGACCAAGACGTCTGATTGGTTTATTCCACCTCTTCTGGATGCTTGGACCCACCTACAATCTGATTGGTTATTTCTCTGAACCAATCATTTTTTGTTCTGCCCTCAGAACACTTCTGTGTAAGTAAGACTCCCATGAGCTTTATGGACTGCATATATGAGAGTGCTGATGTCGTTACAGGTGACTGCTTGCTGGATCAGCCCCAGAGTGTTTTGGTCCTGCCCGACGTCCTCCCAGGAATCACCTACAGCCTTAGCCGACAATGCGAGCTGGCCTTCGGGAGCGGCTCCAAGCCTTGCCCGTACATGCAGTCCTGTGCGAAGCTGTGGTGCACGGGCAAAGCCCGGGGCCAACTGGTCTGTCAAACGCGCCACTTCCCCTGGGCCGATGGCACCAGCTGTGGGGACAGACATCTGTGCTACCAGGGCGTCTGCATGGACAAGGATAACATCACCAGGATCAAGGTAGACAGTCCGGATTCTCTTTGACTCCTCCCTTCATGGCTGCGCCTTCCTCTACCTGGCAGATACATTATTGTTCCTGAGCAGAGTCGTCGGGGTGTGTAAATGTATTCAGTTTTTACAATATGAATCTTAAAAACGCAGTGACTGGTTGGTTTTTGTTGCACCATGCTGGTAGCTTCAGTGGGTAGGATTTTGGTGCCTGCAGCCCAGGACAGATAGACCTGGACTGGATGTGTTTTTCTCCCAGGTGGATGGCCGATGGGGGAAGTGGGGAGTGTTCGGCCCATGCACTCGCACATGCGGGGGTGGCGTGCAGCTGTCCAAACGGGAGTGCAACAGTCCTCTGCCAGCCGAAGGTGGGAAGTATTGCCAGGGCATCCGCATCCGGTACCGCTCCTGCAACCTGGAATCCTGTCCAGACACAGGTATGGTTCAAGGCCAAAAAAGAAACCTCATCTTACAGGCTTTACTGAGATGTCACAGGGATTGCTTTGATTGCTGACGTGGGTGAGTACATACTTAGTGACTAGAACTTAGACACCTCCTTCAGTGAAATCTGCTACATGGTCGTACATCCTCGAATAACCAGCAAGCTTGGTGCTGACGAACACATGCATAATCATCTCATCAACAGGTAAAAGCTTCCGTGAGGAGCAGTGTGAGGCCTTCAACGGCGTCAGCCTCAACACCAACCGCCTTACCCCATCTGTGGTGTGGGTCCCCAAATTCTCTGGAGTTTCCCCCAAAGATCAATGCAAGCTTATCTGCAGAGCCAACGGCACAGGCTACTTCTATGTCCTTGCTCCCAAAGTGAGCACCTTCTCATGCTATTCTTTTTAATATTTATTTCTGTAACAGGCAATTAGGTGCCGCTGCGATCCACCAATGCACGTGGATGGCAGTGAAAATTCCACTGCAAAATTAAAATGGCAAATCACTCTTCAGTAAGATTAATTCATAAATATCAGTGAAGTTCTTTTAATAGCTACAGATATTGATGAAGTTAGCTTTAACAAATAAGCAAACAGAATCAAATTAATGAATTAACTTTTAATGAAAGTCAACACCACAAAACTGCTAAGGAAATATATAATTACACTGATCTGCATTCCACTAACAAACAATAAGGCAATAAAAAGAATAAAAATAAAAAATTAAATCTGCTGGCGCACCATTGATACCGAAAAGCACGCTGCGACATCGGTACTGGCCTTTTTTTCCCATGAAGAAAGAGTGAGGCCAGCTGGAGGAAAAGCTTATCGCTGAGAGATAGGGGAGTGTGCAGTGAGACAGAACAGGTGTGGCCGTCATGTTGGGCTTGGGCCTGAGAAAGTGGTGGGGGTGTGGAAACAGAGGAGCATGAAATCTTCTCACACAGCTGCAGGGTGTCAGGGTGCACTGTTTACTTGGCCGACACGGGATCATCCTGCTGAAGCCCCACACCCAGCCGGTACCGAACTCAGATTTGCTGCAAATCCAAAACTTCCAAAAGCACTTTAATTTGAACAATGGAGAAATTTATAACTGAATAACATTTTGAGGAAGGTCTGACTCGGGGAGTGACTCGAAGAGCAGCATGCATGTGTATTCTATACAAAGTGGCTGTGGTTGAAAAACCTTCACATATGATGTTTTCCTGGTATTTAAAGCTATTTTTGTCCTGGTGCTGGCAGTATTTTTGACATATGCAAATTAAGAGGGTGATGGCAGTTTGTGGGTGTATGAGGGCAATCACTTACGTTACGACTGGAATACTTGTCCAGTCTTTTGACATATTCTAAAGATAGCAGCTGAAGAAAAACAGCTCTGAGAATTAGGGATGAAGACACAGTGTCATGTCTGGCTTCGACGTCACACCTCCGAGAAGGCCAGAGGTCCTTCATGGACTCATATTTCTCAGCCAGCAGCTTGCTGACACCTTCTCTATAGATGGTGGACAGCCCACTTTGTGGCTAATCGCTGTTGGTTCAGATAGTCAACTGTAGAGTGAAGGTTTCCATCTGCATGGTTTCAGGAAATAGCCAGAGGTCTCACCACCAACTAGTTCCCGTTATATATATTAGCTGGGCTTCTAGTAAAATTACATAGCTGATTGTTTTCCATTCATTTAGGGTAATTATGTTAAATTTAAGTACTTTAACCATTGGGTCACCTAGTACTTCTAACAATCTCATGCACTCTGGTTCTCTCCCCTGTCTTGCAGGTAGTGGATGGGACTCCCTGCTCCCCTGACTCCTCTTCTGTCTGCGTCCAGGGAAAGTGCATGAAAGCAGGCTGTGATGGCAAGCTCAGCTCCAAGAAGAAGTTTGACAAGTGCGGTGTGTGCGGGGGCGACAACCGTGGCTGCAAAAAGGTCTCGGGGCTCTTCACCAAACCCATGTAAGAGACCCTTCTTCCTGCCATTCAAGGATAGGCCAGGAAAGTAGAGACCCCCTGGAATGGCAGGATTACCCACAATTCAGGGACGTCCCCCTGTAAAAAGAGCTTGACATATGATACACTTCTGTGTTGCAAATGTAGTGTTTAAATCCCACATGTGGTAGATGAATTTAGTTTTAAACCAGTATCAGTGCTTCTAACACTTTTGTATAAGTTCATTTTTAAACAGTATCAGTAGGCAGGTACTGTACATGAACAAATTTGTTGTGGCAGTTGTGTTTGTGGCAAGACTCGTGGCAAAAAGCTATGTAGGATACATTTTTAAATACTGTGTCTGCGTTAAAATTGCATTTTGATCAAAATGTCCTTCAGAATTTACCATGGTATCGATGGTATTGACCTTTGCCAGTAGGGGTAAAACCTAAATACCTTTGGTCAGGCTATTAAATGCTCCTTGTTCTAACTGACTAACACACCCCTATTTTGGTTCTCAGACATGGCTACAACTTTGTGGTGATGCTTCCCGTTGGCGCCTCCAACATTGACATTCGGCAACGTGGCTACAAGGGTCTGGTGAATGACGACAACTACCTGGCGGTGAAGGACAGCAAGGGGCAGTACCTGCTGAACGGGAACTACGTGGTGTCAGCCGTGGAGCGGGACATCCTGGTGCGTGGCAGCCTGCTGCGGTACAGTGGCACGGGCATGGTGGCGGAAACGCTGCAGGCTGTCAAGCCCTTGAAGGAGGCGCTAACGGTGGAGGTGCTCTCCGTGGGCAAGATGACACCACCACGCATCCGCTACTCCTACTACCTGGCCAAGGAGAGCAAGGAGGAGAGGACCCTGAAGAAGGAGGGCAGGAGCAAAGCCGAGAACAGCGTGCTGGTCGACAGCAATAAGGTGGAGCTGAAGAAGCCAACATACGTGCAGAATAAGTGGATGGCGGCGGGCTGGGACGAGTGCTCGGTGACGTGTGGCAGTGGGCTGCAGAAGAGGATGGTGCAGTGCCTGGACCCGGAGGGTCACTCCGCCACTGACTGCGACTCTGCCTTGAGGCCCAGTGCCCTGAGGTTCTGCGGTGACCCCTGTCCTGACTGGGATGTCGGGGAATGGTCTCCGTGCTCCAAGACCTGTGGCAAAGGCTTCAAGAGGAGGGTGCTGCGTTGCATCACCGTGGCGGGGGATCTGCGGCCACGGGACCATTGTGCCGGCAAGCGGAAGCCGCAGGAGCTGGACTTCTGTACGTTGCGGCCTTGCTAAGTTCTTGCACCCCCATCTTCCTCTAAATTTTTTTTTCCTACGTATTGGACGAAAGAAAGGGATGACTATCATTTAACAGTCTAGAACCATGCTTGTCCTCTTGAGAAAGATACACGGACAATTAAAGGGAGGAGCAGCGAAAAGCAAATGAGGAATAGCGATCACATACTCTGCAGGCCACTGATTTCATATACAGAGCTGGAGTTCAGCCCAGGCATCTACCTCCATTTAAAAATGGCTGTTAAACACACTCAAACACACGTCATATACCGAGTGTGAACATGTGTGCCAATGCAACTGTATGCCGTTTACCTAATTAAAGACGTCCAGATATGAAATTCAAAAATATTAATTAAAGGTCTTTGATAGTCTCAAAAACATCAGGTGGTACTGAAAGCAGCAGGCCATTTTCTTCAGATTAATAAAGAAGTACCTACACTGGCAAAATTAAGATTTTAAAAGATCATTACATCGATGCCTTTAGATATCTGCAGAGATGTATCGTTTTGTTTTGAGTTGCCATATATGGTTATACAAGGATGTTGGGCCAAGGCATTACGTCACGGCATTCTGAGTCCTTGAAGATGTGAATATCAAGTTATGCTTATGTAGGTTCCACATAATTCAGCTGAATCAGTCAAGGACTGTTAAAATTGAGAATGGATTAACTAGGAAGCCTTAAGCGCTTTCTTTTTAAAAATCTTACATTCAATAAAACCCAAATAGAGGATTTTGCTAACGCATTCCTGTGGTTTCACAGACTCTTATTAGCCTGAACTCCTTAATGGTAAGTGCGCCCGTCAAGACAGTTAAAATAACATTTTGCAGAAAGTGCCTCATTTATGCTTGCACATCTGGCATGGCTCCAAGCAGCATAGTGCGGCATGGATTTGCCCTGTCTCTTCGCTATGGCTGTCTTTCCTTTTGACATTGTGTTTGTGTGCCAAGAGACCAGTCTGGATTCAGTGGAGTCAGCAACCGAGGTACTGGCATGGATCCAACCTAAAGTGAATTTCTGCACTAGACCGTCATTCGACAGGAAAGGAGTACCTGTTGACCTAATGAGATAAACCAAACAGGACTCGCTGGGGTACCTCCATACACATTGGCATACACTTAGATCTGTTAGTTGCATCTGTTTCCCCTGACTGCGGCTGAATCATTGTTTTAATGTAACACTGAACAGTAGCTGTCCATCAGGTGGGTTGGTACCCTCTTCTTGGCCTTTGGCAGAGAACTCTGCTCTCGTTGATGCTTTGAGGTTGTTAATCTTGCCTTCTTGTAAGCTGCAGATGAATAAATCAGGACAAATGTTTTACTGCATTTCAGTAAAAGGCATTATGAGGTATCATCTCAAATCTTATATCAGTGCTTATCAGAGGTGTGTAGTTAAGATGCAGAAAGTAAACATCCAGACCAAGAGTTTGTTTCAACCATCAGTTGAGCATAAAGAGTCACAGAGAACTCAACTGGTGGGTTGAAACAAAATCTTGGTCTGGATTTTTACTTTCTGGACCTGAACTATGCACCTCTGGTACTCATTAATATATTAAGCATGCTTTCTGACGATGCATTTGGTGCTCAGTGTCAACATGAGGAATGTGATGTCTTTCATAAGGGAATCCTGCAGCTGTCATGTCATCTACTTTGGGAGGACGGTGATTTTTTTAATCTGGTGTGAGCGACACTCTCTTCCTTCACTCACAGTGACTAATCTGTGCAATGCGTCTCTGTTTGTGATGGCAGTTTACGGATCACACTAGCTAGCAAATGTCATAAGTGCGGGTTGAGAAGCAGGTGATGCATCATAAAAGGGCCGTAAGAAAGAAGCATCTGACCTGAATACAAAATGAATCTTTCAGAGGCTGAAATGGTAGCACTTTACTTGAACCTGTCTTCTATGATGCGTTATAGATACCTTCAAAATGCATTATTAAGGTCGATATAAGAATTAATAAAGCATTACAGCATCTTTTATTGACAGTCATATGGCATTGACATATGATACTTCATAAGCTCCAATGAAGCTCTCATCCATAATGCACTATAGATACCTTCATAATGCATTCTGATGGTCGGTATAAGCATTAAGCATGCTTTGAAATGCATTATAAAAGTATCTATAGTACATAATAAATGAGAGCTTCATAAAGCATTCATAATGCATAATAAAAATGACTATAATGTGTTATGACTCATTTTTATAATGCTTTATATAATGCATGAATGCATGTCACAAATGTGTTCATAGATTCTTATAGACATGGCATTAACAGAAAGTGCTACCATTAAAATTCCAATTGGCCCAACATGTGAAGCATGTAGATGTATTTTCCAACAGTCTGGTTTACCGGGAGTGCAGCAGTCTTGGCCGTAACTAGGCTATGTGACCCTCACTGGTCTGAAAACGTTCCTCTCCCAAACTCAGCAGTACAGCTGTCACTATCGTGCTCTGTCTGGTACAGTTGCCATTAATAAGTTATTGTGATTAAATATATAATGTGGCAAAAAAGGCATGGTTTTTGTATTGCTGTACATGTATCACCCAGTTGGACTCTCAGTTTCTCAACTGTATGTGTATCTAGTTTATGAAAACTTTGTAATCCACTACGTATTGTTTATTATTTTATTATTGATGTTATTATTTTTGCTTTGGTTCGGAGGGGACCACATCTTCCATCTAAAAGATGGTTCCTGTATTATTTGGAATGTTTTCTTTTGCACATTGTACAGCAAAAGAAATAAATGTTAATTCAGCTGCGTCGTATGCTATGTATACATTCATTCAGCTGTGTACCAATAAATAATGTAAATACCGTCAATACCGTCCCCACTGTCATGTTTTGCGTTTTCTCTCAGCCTCAGCTATGGCACATATGGAGTCGTTTAGATATAATACCTTCAAAGCACCTCAGACTTTGCTTGTCAGTGTTTGTCTTGCAATGGGCCTGATCAGTGTTCAGAAGTTAGACGTGGTTTATTTTTTGATAGTCTGCTTGCTTTGATTGTCAGCGGGGGTTCCTCTGTACATTCCAGCCAGCTCATCCTAACTGCTGATGATTACCTTAGACATCACAGGAACATCAGTACCGTGTATGAAGTACTGTGGTCACAAGCATATTCTCATGGTGCCCGGTTCGTATTAACAAAAACTCCTGCTATTAGACTAAATCAGGACAAATGTTTTACTGCCTTTCAGTAAAAGGCATACAACAGTAATGATATTCCTCTGTGAACATAATAAAGCCACCCCCCCCCCCATCCAAAGAAAATTACTGGTTATTCCCCCAGGCTTTGTCACTGGGACAATCGTGAGACCTCACTACACAGAAAATTCTGGAAAGGGGCAGTCTGCACATGGATAGAAAACAGATCATGCTTTTTAATTCTTAAAGTGCATTTTTGGTACCTTACTATCTCTTCCAATTCTCTCTTTTTTTGTGCCTGGAAAGGCTACAACACAGGGAGGGAAAAGTCTGGAAGTAGCAAACTTAACCGAAGGCTCGTAGATGCAGCCATGTATGGAAGTCTGACTGATACATGCAGGGTTTGCCAGAAGAAAGAATCAAAGCCTTTCAAGGGCCGAAACAAACTGGGAGATTACATCAGACACAAGGCATTGTTATCTCAGTTTCCTCACAAGTCAACCTGTTTAGTACTAGCTGGGCTATTAAAGGAATACCCTGCATTATATTTTTGCAGAAATTAATCAGGGCTACATAGTGCAATACGGCAAACATGGAAGTGATTCATCTGATTAAAAGCAAAGGATGAGAGGAAGTCTTGTAAAGAGAAATTAAGGCCAGGCAAAATCTTTTAGTGTGCTTTGTTGTCAATAATGAAGTCACTGCAGGTCTGCTCTCTGGGACAGAAACCAGTACATCGTGTTTCTAAGCCTCGCAAATTGTAAAGCACTTGGAATTGAAAAAACTTCAGGCTGAGAGACTGAAGACAAGATGAGTATTACATAGATAATAAAATTAATTTGCTCAGTAGCTTTGACATTCTTCTCTCATTCTTGAAGGACGGAACAGCCCCTAGAGTGATGGCAAGTGCAGGTGTTAAGGATTGCAGCTTTAGGTGGAGGAGATAGGGTCAATACATTTGAGCTAAACTTCTAACTAACCCTAACCCTAACCCTAAGAGGTGGTTTGGGGTTTAATCTACTTTTTTTTCCCCATAATCATTTATCCAAAGCAAAGTTTAGCCAACCCCTGGGTAACTGGGGATTAAGCACCTTACTCAAAGGCCCAGTGGTGAAATTACTCCAACTCTGGGATTTGAGCCGGCAACCTTCTGATCACAAGCATAGCATCCTGTCCTGCTGAGTCATCCTCCCCCCACTTTTACATCTTCTTATCTGTCGGGCAATAGAGACTGAGTCCACATGACTGGAATTTGGACCGAATCGACTATGTGCAGCAGCACTCCTTCCATCATTCAGAGCTGCTGCCTGATTCTGCTGAATCCAGCAGTCTGGCCTTCAAAAGCCGACCGAGGCCCCATCTTAGCCAATAATGTGCCCCACTGTGAAGGGGGCCTTGATGGATCTTCCAGGTTTAACTTAACTTAACTTAACTTAACTTAACTTAACTTATGCGCAGGTATCTGTGTGTATGCCGCGTGGGTGAAAAGAGAGGATGGATCACACATGGATTTGAAGGCCCTGAAGCCTCCCAAATCATGCACAACTGTCTGCTCACATCAGCAATAAAACTCACCAGGGGAGTCGCAGAGTCTGTCAACGCTCATTGACAGCTGGTGATAGGAGGAAACAGAGAGAGAGGGTGAAATCAAACATTCAGCCGGGCAGTCGGGCCCTGTGCTTCCTCTTCAAGATAACTGAACCTAGTCTAGCTTTTTGTGCATGTTTCTTATTCTTCTTAACCCATCTTGTGGCATGTTGTGGGGGGGGGGGGTGGTGGAGTAGGAGGCCAGGGGTTGGGGGAGAACGGGGATCACGTGCCATTGGCAGCTATGCTAGGCCAGGCTACAGCAAACATGAAGACCTGCAGTTTCCTGATCAACGGCATTTTCCTGTGTTGCCCGGTTTCTATTCTGAGACTCCCTGCCATCAGTGTTAATTACGTCAATGAAAATTTTGACGATAAGTATGCGTTGACGACCTTTTATTTCATGACTAGATAGTAACGACAACGCAAATGGAAAAATGGTTGCCAACTAAAATTACAGCGAAATCTCTGTTCATTATTCTCTGACGAGTAAAGAGAGACGAAATTGCTACTGTAGCTCCATTTGGACAGACAACCTAGATCCCAGTAGCCATCTCAAAGCGTTGGTTCTTATCCTTTTTAACCAATCATTTAGATGCACAAATCTGCAAGTGCACATACAAATTCTCACTGTCTCCATGCATCTTTCTCATTGGATTATTTTTTTCCATGCAAATGCAGCTTCCAGTTAAGCTAAAAACCAGTGAGCAAGATAACGTTGTGGGTGCCTAATTATGATGAGTTTCTCACCTTTACCGGCGCCCTGTCAGGTGGGCAGAAAAGGGAGAGACGATCTGTGGATAAATTTCTGTTATAGTTGAACCGAAAGAAAGACTCGGTGTATCGTTCCCGATGAGGATGGAGTGCCGTGTGGATTCCAGATTGCTGGGAAAAACACGACCAATTTGAAAAGGCACCTGAAGACCTGCAGTCTCTGACAAGGTGAATATCAATTATGTATGTTAGAGCTAAGTTTTCATAAGCTTGTTACATTTAATATTCAAAAAAAGTTACGTAAAAAGTAAAAAAATAGTGATCTGGTCGGATGTACAGATACAACAAAAGGATAAGGGGAGCCGTGGCAAGAAATTTAAAAAAAATATTTTGTTCAATATACTGGGACAGCATGCATATAGCGTGCTGTCCTAGCGATGTGAATTTGTTGTAAAAAAAAATACCGGGGTATTTATAACGCAAAAAAAAAGAGTTCCTAAATTTCTCACAAAACTGTGTAGAAGTGATTTAAACAGCAAGGATGAAAATGACTATGATTGTCTTGCAGAACACACTACTGCAAAAGCAGCAGAGGTAAACTTTAAACCAGGTCAGATCAGTCAACTTTTTAGTTTTTAATTTTTTCAATGCAGTTATTTGCTTTATAGAAATGTAAAGTACTGCACAATTATTTCACCCACCGTCATGAAGAAGGCTTTGCCAAATACTGACCTTACCAGATCTTCCCTTTTTATAATAAAAATTGAGCAGCTGTGCTTGTTTGTGAAACATTCTCCTGGGGGACTTTTATTTGCTAATGTAAGGCATGATTTGGCTTTGCCTTCTATCCTTGGATGTGTGGAACGGTATTAAGAGAGCTGTGCTAGACTTTGCTGTGCAACTCCTGGAACCACCTTCTCCCCTGTAGACCAGTGTTGAGAGATGTACATTTGCATAGTATGACGTGGTACTGCCTTGGATGGAGTTATGGTGCAGTACTCCACATTTCTATAAAGCAAATAACTGCGTTGAAAAAGCTGAACTTTAAGTTGACTTCCTAAAACTAAACAGAGACAAGTAAACTATTTAGTAAATGGAAGGAAAGGCACAGATAAGCTTAATACTTAGGCTTATTATAAGTTGTGTTTTACACACAGTTAGATGGGTGTTTGATGCCCATATAACACAAAAATTTAATTAAAATGGGCTTATAGTTAAATTTGATGGGTGTTTTGATGCCCTAATAAAAAAATGAAACATGAAAAAGTACAAGTATGTGTAGCTGATATTTGCATAAAATAAGACCTGTGAATGAAATATGACTGTATTGCACCTTTTCTAACAAATTTTAGACATTCATAGGAAAGAAGTATGGGACCAAGGTTTGAGTCTCCACCAGGGTCCATGTGTTTGGAGCTTGTATGTTCTCCGCATCGTGTTTCCCCCCACAGTCCAAAAACATGCTGGGCTTAATTGGAATTGCCAAATTGCCCATAGGTGTTAGTGTGCCCTGTGATGGGCAGGTGTGCCATCCTGGGTTGTTCCCCACCTTACACCTGTAGCCTCCAGGATAGGCTTTGGACCCCCCCACGACCCTATAGGATAAGCCGTTTCAGAACATGGAAGTATGGTAAGTCAGTAACACATTCCCTGCCTAGATGACTAAGTGTCATAGGCTATGCATAAATATGAGGTACGCTTAACTCTCAAGGGAATTTACTCAAACAGGACCAGTATCCTTTAGCAAAATGCATTTCAGTACCATGAACCTGTCTGAGAAAATCATGACAAAAAAACTGCCTAAAATTAGACTAAAATTAAACCTGATTTCCACTGACTAAATCTTAACTAAAACAAAATGAAAAGAAAAGACTAAAACGTGACTTTAATCCAACTACAATTTTCAGTACGTGACTAAGACTAAAACTAAAGTAAAAACTCTTGCCAAAATGAACACTGGCCGCCATTAGATCAAGTCAGGACAAATGTTTCACTGCAGTACAGTAAAAGGCATTTAGGGTGAATACTGGTAAACTGGGACAATTTTTGAAACCATATACTTTCTCTCTCACTTTGACAATACGATCCTAATTATAAATACTAAAACAAAAATATTATTGAAAGCTCAAGACCTGACCTTAAGTTAACAGAGCACTGAGGCTAAAAGATATTGGACTATAAAACATATGTGTCCCAGTTTATCCTTTGTCTCACTTAATGAATGTTCACCCGAATAATACTAAAATTCCTCTGTGAACATATAAATTCAGTCCCCCCACCCAAAGAAACTTATTGTTATACCAAAAGGCAGCAGATATAACTGGCAGACCATGAGTTAGGGGGGTGCTTTTGGCCCAGTTATCCAGCAGTCATTG